TCTCTCTCTTACTCTCTCTCTCTCTTTCTCTCTCTCTCTTTCTGCCGCCATTTGTGCTCCCATCTGCTCTCGATTAATGTGAGTTACGAGCGGTAATTGAAGCATCTGTTCATCCGATGCGCATCCTTTGCTCCGACACGTACAACACCTCCCTCGCTGGATGGCTCGCACTCCGGGGTTTTGCTTTCACTGATGTGTTTCTGCGTTAGAGCTGAGCAGAAGTCAGAAAGGTTTTTATTCTCTTCTACACTTTGTGATAGACGGAAATATCTCAATTCAGATTTATGGGTTGTTTCTTTTTTTAACCGACTTGAGGCTCCCTTAGACTTTCCGTCATACTTTGTTGGTTTACAATGATTTTTTTTCCTGTGCTCTCAGTTTTCCATTTAGGTCAGAATTACTGTTTCATTTCATAAGAACAAGTCCTTACAATGCAAAGTTTAATACTTTTCTTTGTATCGCTATGAGAGAGGATTTATTGTTTATCATTTATTGTGATGTCAGGATTAATATTTTACTATTTTCTCCACTGTTTGTTCAATGGGAGTATTAATAAATATCAATACTTTTGAAAATAGGGTTAAATGCAGAGACTCTGTGTAGCTTAGTGATACAGATCACACTCTGTATGTGACTACTGGTGTCTGAAAGAAGTGTATTTCAGATACATAAGTTTTTGAGAGCAGTTTGTATATTTGGTGCTGTTATTGTGCCATGCAGTCACAGCCACCTTAAAAAAAGGCGTAATAAATCGTTTTTATCACTACTTTCATTATTATCGTAAATTCGCAATAGTACCTGAAAATATCGTTAAGTCCATGTCGGAATATGTATTTTAGTATAAATCCATATGTTCTCATGTCTATTTATTCAATAATTCAGGCGAAAAAAAGTGTTTCTGAATTGAAAATGTTTTTCATATTGTCAGGACAGAGTTTTCTATTAAATGTGATTAATTGGGATTAATTTGTTACATACCCTGCTATCAAATGCTATCAAAAATTTTAGTTGAGTCCCACGATTGGTTCAATTTCTTTGAATTTAATACAGAGTTAATCTAGTTAATCTAGACTCACTTTTTTCTACAAGTCATGTTTGCTTTGATGTAGTGGATGAAGGATAAATTATGTCATGTTCACCATAAACCATGTCAAACATTCTGCACATGGTTCCAAGTTTCCTTTTTTCATTTCTGAAAATGAGACCTCAAATTAACTTTAAGATGAAATTTTCATGTTTATTAATTGAATCAGAATAGTCCATCTTTCTCTTTTTGTTTGTTTGTTTCTCATCCCTAATCAACAAACATTGGTGCTATTAGACTATCAGTGGTGTAGCACCTGTACAAAACGATGTTCATCACAGAGCAGAGCAACAAATGAAAGTGCAGAAGTTGCTAAAACTGCAGCGGGAGACGTTTCCTTCTTCCTACATGCGAGGCCAAAATGAGCTCCACCGCCTGTAGAGGGATGCATCCGCTCTCTGGCTGCTAATGTCTGGTTTCCTGAGCTGTGTTTATCGGTTTATTAGTGAACGGCTTGTGTGGAGTGGGCTTTTAAAAATGTTTTCATGTGAAAGAAAGCAGCTCCCCGCTGCGGCTGACAGGAACTCCATGAGACTGAAACTAAACGGCGAAGTTTTAAAGCTCAGAGGAGCGGCCGCTGAGCGAAGCGCTCCTCCATTTTCACAGTGGGCAGCCTCGTTCGCGTCGTCTGATCGATTATTAGCCGCAGCCGCTGAAAGCTCTCCCTGGATGCTTTTATGTGCACAGAGAGAAATGAATACTCACGCACACACACGCACACACACCATACGTCATTAATTTAAGCAGACTGTAGTACTGTACACAGCAGCTAAATTAGCCCTGTCTCTTTTTATCGATCTCTTCGCTGTCAGCTGACGGTGAAGGGTCTGTCTGCGAGGCCGATGGGGAATCGGTGGGAGATACCTGCAGTCCAGACGAATCTCTGATATCTGACAAGCTCTTTCAGAGTGTTTGTTGCGAAAAACACAAGGAGAGAGGGAGAGGATGTGCCTCGGATGCTCAGAGAGGAGGCGGTGATGTTTGTTTATGAGGGCGTCTCCGTCCTTTTGTGTGTCCCACAGGTAGCGGGGCCAGACTGAGCTAAAAGTCAGAATGTGTGTGTGTGTGTGTGTGTGTGTGCGTTTGTTTGTAATACCTTGTGGGGACGATTTTCCTGACATATACTACGTTGTGGGGACCAATTGCTCCTCGTGGGGGCCAGAGCCTGGTCCCCACGAGGGGAAACCCTGTTTTTGGGTCAGGGGTCAGATTTAGGGCTAAGGTATGAATTGAGTTTTGGTTAGGGCTAGGGTTAGGTATGTGATGGTTAGGGTTAGGAAAAGGGTAAAGGTAAGGTTTAGGCTGTAGAAATGAATGGAAGTCAATGGAAAGTCCCCACAAAGATAGCCAGACAAACATGTGTGTGCGTGTGTGTATTGGGGCTGTAGGTGGTGATAGAGGCAGACTCTTCCTGCTGTCAGTTTCTGGCATGTTCACACCCCAGATAGGGCTAAAAAGCTCCAACACACACACACACACACACACCTGCACATATCTTGGCTCCCACCACTGCACACATCCCCACCTTACACGTGGTGCTGCACACACATCCGCTCTCGCACAGCCGTGCAGAGATAATTGCATACGTTCTGTGATTGTAATATTCCTCCTTGGATGTAATCATCGTGGTTTGATAGAAATCACTGTTCCACAAGCTCAAGAATAGACGGTACGGGGAGCAGTGCATCCTCTTTCCAGCAGCCGAATCAGTGTGAAGAAGACGGATGGGAGGGGAAGTGCTAAGTAGAGTCGGGGAGACAGGTGGGGCATCCATATGTCGCCACGGCTACCGACTCGGCTGCCCATCCCGGTCCAGACCTGCTGCTCTCCTCTCCAGCTTGGATGGGGGTCAGAGGTCGGCCGGCTGTCTCTCTCTCACTCAGCATGGACTCTTGGCATCGACACTTTGAGCTCAAACAAAGTGAGAATCTGTCCTTCTGATGCTGCTTTAAAGCGGAGACCTCACTGTGAAAACTGATTTTTTTTTTTTTTTTTTTTTTTTTTCCGGTTTGATTATTCAGAAAATCTAAACCAGAGGAATCTTAGACTACCATCACATGGGCTCGTATCTTGCTGAATATTTAGGGGAGATATTATGCGAAATAGACTTTTTTGGAACTTCACATCATGTTATAATATAATTATTGAGGATTTCTGGGTAGAACATGTACACTGACATATGGACTTTTATGCACATATTTTTTGTAAACTTTTGGCTTAATTGCAGCTCTATGAGTGTTGTTCTTTCAGCAAATGTCCTTTAGAGTCTGCATGCAGCAGTTAATGATTAATCAATTACTAAATTAGTTGACGATTACATCAGTTGATCACGACTGATTTAATTAATCTTTTCAGCGATTCTATTAATTGTATTAATCGTAGCGATTAATCAAATACACTAGTGCAGCTCTGTTCTAGAAGCACTATGCAGAAATGACCTTAAGACACACACAAAACTGTGATTTGGATCTGAAAATAATCATTTTTATTTGCTTGATATTTAAAAACATTCCTCAGTTTGTTATTGTTTTTGGCAAAAGCCATTAAGAGTTTCTATGGAGGCCTTTAAGAGCCACATGCAGCTTTGGAGCCACATGTTGCAGACCGTTGGGTCAGCCTCTCAGACCTTTAAGACTTATTTTGGACTTACTTTAAAAAAAAAATCAGACTTGAATTAGACTTGCCCCTTAAAGACTTTTAAAGATTTTACTTAAAACACTGGTAGAATCTTTGCTTCCTAAGCCTATTAAAAAAAAAAAGTTGACTTTTAATTTTATGCGTTGCAACGATTGCATCGATAAAAGTGTTTTGTCTGACAAAGAGCTTTCAAGGCCTCAGCTGTAACTCCTAACAATTTATCCCACTTTGCGTTAATCAGAAGTGAAATGACACCCGGACCTGCTCACAGTTAGCATTAGCGCTAACATACAGAGAACCAGAGTCTTCAGCCATTAGATTAAACCCGACTGCCGACTCCATTCATTTCAATCTATCTGTCTAAAGACGAGGGCCGGGACAAAGGCGGCGTGGGCGCGCAAAGTGGCGGGCGGGAACGAGAGTAAACACGTAATCTAATTCCTCTCTTCTTTGTCTTCATTCGCTCGGCACAATGACAGATAAAGTTGAACGGGAGCAGAGAGGGCAGGATGATAAATGAGGGAGAAGGAGGAGAATGAATGTGAAGACAGAGGTAGACAAGACAATTAAGTTACAGTGAGGTCAGCAGTAGGAGAGTGTGTTTGTGGAGCATCCAGCTTGATCCTCCTCATGAATTTGATGTCATGATTCATTGTCTCTAATCTCGCTGAGAAAATGTGTGAGGGCTGCTAATGAAGTGAGCGTGTGCGTGTGTATATGCGATGCTGCATTGACTTTTTAATCAGTTCAGTTCAGGTGGAGATCGCTGAATAACTCTGCCGTGTTGCCAACAGGGTGCTGTGAAAAGGCATTTCAGCCTCACAGATTCTACTTTTTCCCTTTTCGTCACAATTGAATGTCATCAAACACATTTGATCATCAAAGATAATTTGAAAAAGTACAAAAAGTTGTTTTCAAATTTCATTTACTAGGTCTTCAAACCAAGCTGTCCTTATCTGAACATTAGAGTTTAGATCAGGGGCCTAAAATATCCAACCCAAGTGTCTCAGATTGACAGTTCAGATTTTAAATATAAATTTAGAGCTGCAGTATGTAACTTTTCTAAAAATATGTTGTTTTTTACATATCTGTCAGAAAAATATGTTACTATGTCATGGCAGTTTAATATGAGCCTGATCTGTAAAAAAAAAAAAAGAAAAACAGCAACCAATCAAAATCATTGCTACAAATTTGTACCATTGACTTTCCATGGGAAATATAACCAGCAAAATACGACATGTTTAAACTGAATGATCAAAAGAAATTTTTGTCTCTGCAGGCTTACTTTCGACAAGGGGTTGCCCTGCAGTACCTGGGTCGTCATGCCGACGCGCTGGCAGCGTTCGCGTCGGGCCTGGCACAGGACCCCAAGAGTCTCCAGCTGCTTGTCGGCATGGTGGAGGCGGCAATGAAATCACCACTCAGAGGTAATCTAGTCATATAGATAACCTCACTCTGCTTTTCAATCACAGCAATGCTGAAGCAATCCAACAAAAATATGAAACAAAAAAATATATATATAAATGATGGTTTTAACCAGGTTAGAGATACTGGAACAAAGAAGCCTTTCAAAGCAACAAAAAGAAAGCATCTACTTTCGTTTTGTTGTTTTATTCAGTAGACGACTCTTGTTGGAGTGTGATGGAAAGTGTCTGTGATTATTCTGACTGAAACAGAAGAACCTCTGATTTGAAACAGAGATGAGAGAAAAGAAAACCATGAAAAAGTAGGACGAAGGCAGGAAATGAGGGAGAAGAGAAGCATACATAAGATGAAACCAAAACATCTTCAGGTATGTCATTCATATTTAGTTATTTCCAGGGTGGTCTTGTGAGTCCGCTTTACTTATAAAGGGTAAAAACTGCTGCCATGTAATCTTACTTAGTAAGAATATAAGAATAAGTGATCGTTCCATTAGTTGTTGTTTAAATTATCTAACATAGCTGATTTTCATTAAGTTGCCCCTCAACCAGTTAGAGGTTGCCTTATTTTGAAACTAAAGAAAGAAAATGATTATTTTAAAGGAGTTTTCAAACCTGACAGTCTGGTAGACTTGGTTTGTTTGGGAACCAAAATTGCAACATTTGTTACATTTTCAGATGATGCGTTTCACTTTCACGCTGCAGTGTCAAACAAACCAAACCCTTTGTGAAAACCTGTTCACTTCCTCGCCTGAGGTGGCGCTGCAACAAGAACCATTGAAGGAAATGACATAAAAATCTCAGAAGAAGACAGTGACCTCAGCATCCTTCTTCACGAAATGTGAACAAAAATTGGAGTGTGGTCAGACTGTAGCAGTTGTACAGTAGTCTGCTTCCTGCTTTTGGAGTCACGTTCACATGTTCATTCAAACGGCGTCAGAGTTAATTTCAAAAGAACCGAGACCGAGGTTTGCTAGTGGAGCAGACGTCACCTTTTTGATCTTCATCAGAGTTTGATTACACATTCACATCTCCCCAACCAAACCGGACTTTCTAGACAAAACTAGTAGAGTTGGATTAAAGCAAACTAAACAGAACTGGTGTGAACGCTCCCTAACATTGGTTTATCAGCCCCGTTGCATCAGATGTTGCTTGTCAGTGTGTCTCCCTCTTGTCCCTTCAGGACAAATCTTGCAGGATGTACTTATAAAGTTAAAATCTGTCAAAAACAGAAACTGAAGAAGCGAAACATTGGACGTCTATCATTTGATCCTCAAACTCCTGTCAGGATGCTGACTGTTACGTCAAACTGTCGTTGTTGATGCCAATTTTTGCTAAGCATAAACTAAATAAAGAGGTTGCCTTGGGAGAAGGGGTGTCAACATGTAAGACATCTCTAATTTTTATAGAACTCTTTAAAAAAAAAGACATGAATCTTGAGAAGGATCCTCCTCTTCACCGCTGTCGGTCTCTGCCTCCCTCCTCTTCCTCCACTGGCCTTCACTGTGGCCCCACCTGTTGGACCGCCTGCTGCTTACCCCAGTGTTGTGATCCCAGTAACACATGGAGGATCGCTTGCTTTGAAGATTACAGAGGATGAAGTTCTGAGGACGGCTGCTGCTGGGTGGCAGAACTACCTCCCTGTCATGTATCACATCTGCGGTAGCCGCTCCGCTCCAGGATTCAGTTTCAAGTCATGTTGTCATAGCTGCTGCTGGATATTACACCACACTCCCATCACCATCCAAAGACTCTTTCATTTGCTTGTTTTTATGACAAAATGTCTTGATTAATGATGCAAGAACAGATGAGACTTCACATGTTCATAAGCATTTACTGCAGCTTACCAAAATGGAGGATCTTTTTCTTTACTGATGAGCGACACTGGATTCCCCATGTTAGACTTCTGGACCTTTGTTTGATTGACTCTTTGATTCCTTGGATCCCTTTGTACCATGATGGAATTTGTTTTTGTTTTTATTGTTGTTCTTTTTTTTGGCAATTGGTATATTTTTTCAGACAGAATTAATATTCGTGACTATATGTTGTCTGACCTCAACGTACAGATTAGTCAAACCTGTAGAGGTTGTAGTTACAGATTCTTTGTGGTTTTGGAGAGATAAAGGAAGTCCAGGTACAAGAATAAAAGCTCACTCCAAACCTTAGTGAAATGTGTAACCACAACAAATTTAATGCACTGCAGTGATAAAACATCTTGATTAAAGACGTTTTAATCAAAATGTTTTATCACGTCTGAAATTGAATAAAAATCCTATCAAACTTAAAGTAAGTTTGTAATCGTCGACGGGTATTTCTTCTCTAATCTACGACACTCTTAAGGAATTTTGTTTGTGACGTTCCCAACCGAAATGTTTACATGTAAACAAACAGTTTCTCGCAGATCAAATCAAAACCATCAAGCTTTTTATTAGAACCATTTTGTTATTTTGTGGAGGAGAGGGATAATAGATAATAGATAATAGATTTAATTTATCCACAATTTTAGGTTTTGGAAAAACGAAAAGCTAATTTTGAGCAGTACAAAAAGTAAGATTGCTAAATAAGATTTTGTCCTTCACACACAGGTGTGTCAACAAAAACTAAGTTTTCTGGAACTTTTAAATAAAATCCAGAAGGCGGGTGCTAAAGCCCGGCCGATCCAGATTGGGTTGGAGGTTCCTCTTGGTTCTGTGTGTTTCTTTTTGTCTCCATTAAAGTTGTGAGTTCCAGTACCATGCTGCGTGTTCAAGGCCAAAATAGACGATTTCAAAGAATTTTTTAATCTGCAAGGAGTGAAATGTCGACGCAAACAATGTTTAGATAAAACTTTCATGACTGGAAGAGAATTCTCTTCAATTTTTCACACATATTTCAGAGAAGAGAAAAAAGGCAAGTGGGTATTGATAGTAAATCATTTCTATTAAAAAGTAAAACCGCTGAAAAATTATGAATCAGTTCAAAAACCGACTGAGTTCTATGGTAGCAGAATGAGATCGTTCATTTCAAATGGCCTTTTGACATGAATTAGCAATTCTCAGAAATATTATTTGTAGGGTATATATCACTTCAGTACGATGGCATATGAAGGACACTGTAGACAGGAAAGAAAGAGAGGAGGAGTAAATTTGTGCCAAAGAATTAAGAAATGTTCTATAAAGAGAAGGACATTTCTGAATTTGAAAAGTCAAAAAATTTGCTTGAAAAATCTAGGACATTCTTGGTTTGGAAAAGTTGAAAATTTGGTAGAAAAAAAAGAGTTTTAAGTTTAATCCTAAAAAAAATCTTCTAGAAAAAAACACTAGTTTGACTTTAAAAAATTAAACATTAGCGTAAAAACGTAAAAAAAAAACAAATTTTTGAGAATAAGCTCACACATTTTCTGTTAAGGAAATTTCTGGGTTTAATAAGTCAAATCTCAGAATTTCTGAAATTAAAATATTGAAAAAATGTTCACCTTTGAAACTCTAAAATTTCATAGCTTTTTCTATAAAATTTGAATTTATTTATTTCTGTTTTGTTTTGTTTTTATCTACAATGGCCCGTCATACCTTAGCGACATCTATTATCATACTGAAGGCCTTTCCTTCATCAGTGGAGTGAAACGTATTGAACACAAGTGAAGGGTCACAGTCACAACTCATGTTGCCTCATTTGTACGAAGTGAATCTCCATCGGTTCTCGGATGCTTATCTCTCTCTAAATGACATCATTTTATTTGCAGACACGCTTGAGCCCACCTACCAGCAGCTTCAGAGGATGAAGCTGGACAAGAGCCCGTTCGTGGTGGTGTCCGTCATCGGCCAGGAGCTGCTGACGCACGGTTACCACGGCGCCTCGGTGGTGGTGCTGGAGGCGGGGCTGAAGATCGGCACGTGCTCGCTGAAGCTGCGCGGCTCCGTCTTCTCCGCTCTCAGCTCGGCGTACTGGAACCTCGGAGACGTGGAGAGAAGCATGGCTCACATGCAGCAGGACCTGGAGGTGACCAAGACTCTAGGTATGGAGCAACGAAAAGGACGATAATGTGTAAAACATGTGAAAAGTGACTTACAAGGAGTACGTTGAACTTTGCAGGAGACCAGTCGGGTGAATGCCGGGCTCACGGGAACCTCGGCTCGGCGTTGTTCTCTAAAAGCAGCTACAGAGAAGCGCTGGCCCACCACAGGAACCAGCTGGTGCTGGCCATGAAGCTCAAGGACAGAGAAGTATGTCTGCACTGCACTCAGATAACACCGGCTGCTGCTTTCAGTCCACCGTTCAGTTCAGGTGGACGTGTTCTTGTTGGTTTGCTGCTATACTGAACTCTTTTTCTTTTGTGATCATTAAACCTATTGGGTCTTGATTTATAAGCTAACTCTGCTTTCACCTTCCCCACAACTTCCTCCCTGACCTTTCTGCTGACCCTTGGGTCTTCATGATGCTGTGCATAGATGAACTTAAGTCTTTATGGCTATGTTTAGGTCCATTTTTATTTTATTTTATTTTATTTGCATGGTCGTTCAGACTACTAGTTAAATGGGATCACAAGCGGAATATCGGTTTACGATCCCAAAGCAACCAGCAGGTACAGAAGAACTTTGATGTCAAACAGCAGCGCAGTGTTTACAGATAATAATGGACGCCACAGTCTGTGGATCGATTTTAAAGTTATTGAGCAACAGGAGCAGACAGTACTATCATGAGATCATAACAAAGACAGAGGAAAATAATAAGTCAAGCGTCCTGCTTCAGCCGTTGTTTTCATTCTGATTTACCACATCTGAATTTTTCTGATGTAGAAGTATAACGCATGTCTGTCTTCAATGAGGTAAAAGTTGGATAAAATGCAGCAGGACCACTCAGACTGCAAAGACTTTGAAAACGGTCGGATACATGTCCAATTTAGTATCAAGTGGAACAAATCAGATTTTTGAGGGTAGAAAAGATCTGAATTGGGGTGAAATGGGTCACATTTTGACAAAAAAATATGATTTGGACCTTCTGTGTGAATGTAGCTTAAAACTGTCCAGCAATCCTATAAGGCCTTCATGAACAAACTGGATGTCTTATTCACATGGAGTGGACATTATGTTCTAAATAAGTCACTTCTCAATGCAGTTGGATGTAGCGAATCTTCTTTTAAAGGGTTAAAAACAAATTCATGCCACGCTTGAAAAATTACATTTTCTTCAGCTTCACAGTTCTGCACTACTTAAAAGATCCTAACAGATTGTAGAAGACTCTAAAGAATAGAACTTTTTGTAATTTAGTCATTTTTTGTTGGATATGCACACAAAAAAGTGACCTCAGGAAAACAAAAAGGTTATTTTAGTTTTTCTATAGACAAAAACAAATAATTTAAAACAAAAAACTGGGATTTCACTAACCCTCATCTCCCAACAGCTGGATTTTTATGATCCAGGGTGAGACTGATTTATTATTTATCACTTCTTATACCTCCATCCTCCTTGCTGTCTCTCTATCCTGGCTGGTCTAAAGGCAGAAGGGGGGAAAAATCCATTTTCTGTGGAGTCTGTTGAGAACGTCCATCAGATTTTCTCCTCTGTTGTTTTCCTGCCTTCACAGAGGAAAACATTTTCTGCATGTGTTCTTAAAGTAGGAAACAGGAGTGGAGAAACAAGGTCCATGAAAAACACTTTCCTGTAGCTGCGTTATGGATATGTTATAATCACTGTGAAGCTGGAAAGTAGCAGAATTCAATTAGATTTTATAATTTTATACCAAACCTCAAAGAGAAAAGTCTGAATTCATGGAGAACTCTGAATAGTTTACAATAATTTCATCACATGAATGTGTCAGAAGAGCAAAATGTCAGTGTGATGAATGGATAACAGAAGAATTAATATTGCACTGATGTTGAGTGTGACCAATAATAATTCACATTCTGAATTTAGACATTCACCATGTGAACAAGAAAGTATCATTGTAATGGTAGCTTAGTATTTCAACAGAAAATATACGTAAAATCACCAGCTTCTGTTAAAATTCACTTTCAAACATTAACACACACACGCGCGGACACACACACAGTCGTGTTTTCATCACTTGTGGGGACTTCGCATTGACTTACATTAATTTCTACAGGCTAACTCCTACCCTAATCCTAGCCCATCACAGACCTAACCACTAACCCAAAAACACAATTTCCCTCATGGGGACCAAGTAAATGTCCCCACAAGGAGCAATGGTCCCCATAACCCCACATTGTAGACAGAAATAGGTTCCCATAAGGATATAAAAACCTGGTATACACACACACACACACACACACACACACACACACACACACACACACACACACACACACACACACACACACGCTAAATGACACGCACACAGAAGAATCACAGAAATAGCTGGTCAAAATGTTGAAGTGCATCCAAACTGCTTTTCTGCAAATTTGTTCAATGATCTGAAACATTAAAGTGTGACGCAAAAAAAGCAAAAACAGATTAAATCTGGGAAACGACAAATGCTTACAGCACTCTACAAAACAAAGTCAATGGTTTTATTTTCTATTTCATTTAATTTTAAAATTCATTTATATCCTCCATTTTGCCAACAGTTTTAATGTTTTCCAGAAACCTTTCAGAGCATTGCTGGCCATGTTTGTACTGCAATCATAAGATATGAAAATCTGATAGCAAATGTTATTCATAACTACTAACTTCACACACTTTAGTTTTTCTGTTTCCACACAGGAATCTAAATCTACACTCAATATTTCTGATGAATATCAACACAAAATCAGATTCATCTGGACAGGTTGATTTATTGTAACTGGAGCTGTACAGTAAATCACTAACATGTCGTGATAGACGTGATTAAGATCAATAGAAAACACGTCAGATAAAATAATTTGACTGAACTCTGGTCTTGAGCCACACAGCATTCTGGGGGTTGTAGGAACAGCTTTAGCTGCTCAACCTCTCACAGCCATCAGAGCAAGGTATCGACTAACTAAATTGCGTTGGTTACCTAGCAACAACCTGTTGAGTAACAGGTTTGGCCTCTGTGCCTCATAACTGCTTTAAAAAATAATACCAGAGTGAAAACTGTGGATAAAACAGGAAAAGTCACGTCATCTGTTTGGCAACACTTCTATCATGACATGATACAAGCCCTAATTATAAGTCAATAAACCCAATCAGCAGCTCCATCACCTTTTTACATTTTCAGAGGCTCCACTGGATCCGACCAAGATAAAACACGAGGCTTTATCTCAGATTTGGAGCATAATGGAACACCTGCTAGAAAAAACAATGAACGCTGGAGTCAATTCATCTGAATGAAAGCACGTGGCATGTAGAGTCATGTATTTGTGCCGTTTTGTGTTTTTTTTTTTTTAATGTCAAGTTGAAGCTTCCGTGAACTTTTTTATGTCAAATTCTTGTATCTCATATTGGCACAGACTGAGCTGGAAGCCGTTCTGAAACGACAAACTTTTTGTTCCGTCTCGGCGCTCTTTTCTCCGACGGCAGGTCACTGAGCCTCCCCATCCACAGGTGCTCAGCCTGAGGCGGCTGGCTGGCACGTGGTCGTCCACAGAAATCTACATCCTCCTGCCGCGCCTGCCCGGCTCACTGTGCGGCAGAGTGCCTCCATCCAAACAAAGACGCAGCTTGCTGAGAACTGATGTTTAACCTGCAGGGGCGGACGGGAAAACGGGGGAAACGGCCTCAGCTAGACAACTGAGTCCAGCACATCTGCTGCTGTCGTTTTAACCGAGTCACTCATTTGACAACAAAAAACAATAATAAAAAAAAAAATTTGAGCAGTTGGAAGTAATTAAGCAAACATTTACCTTTGTCAAGCAAAACCCATTGAGTGGGAGGCTGTTGGAAAGCTTTTGTTTGACGTCATGTTCACACATGGTGAAATGTTGTTTTGGGACATAAATGCAGCAGCACCCAGGATTTCAGCTTCCCAATATGAGTTTTATTTAATATATTTTATATATTGACTCCTTCCTGAAACAATGGCTTATTTTTTGACAAAAGTGATTCCTTCCCCCCCTCTTCTCCCCACGCACCTAAATACTTTTTTTTTTTTCAAAAAAAGAGATTTATTTATTTATTTTCTTTCCTCTTTTTGCACAAACAAAATAACTTTTGACAAAAAATAGAAAAGACTTAGGCCTATGTTTCAGGAAGTTTACAATATGCTCTACAAAAATAAATAGGCAAAATTCTTGCAAATAATTTGGAGTCCATGTTCCACAGGTTCATCTCTACTTCTAAAAGGGAAACTTTCCTCATATTTACGGGTGAAATAATCTACAGTGGAACTTTTTCATCAATATTAAGGGATTATTTACTTAAAATAAACTCCTATACCTTACTGAAAAGTTACTTGAGTTAGTTTTGTCTTATTTCAACCGTACTAAGATATTTGCACTATAGAAACTAGACCAAAAATAATTTTGTGTTTTTGCAGTGTTCTGGCAGGCCACTGTAATAATTATAAGTATTAGTCAGTCAAAACTGGTTTTCTTAAGAGTAACAGGACAAAAGCAATCAGAAAAAATTCTCTCTAGCGGCGCACATATCCTCCTCTGCTTACAGTGAACTAAAAGACATGATTGAAAGCTGCTATTTGCAGATGCAGCAGCTTGTGAGATCTGTTTTGTTTTCTTTGCATATGCAGACTTTAAGATTGATCTAATCAGATCAAATAAATGAAACAGTGATCAGTGCTGATTTGCTAAGTGCTTCAAAAGTGTCCAGTTAGCTTCTTTAAATAAAAAATAAGATTAAGAAGCAGTATGAAAACGATGGGAGTTTAAATGTTTAGAATTCTGGATCTCCCACACAGAAAACCTGGCAGAGGAAACTCGGGTCTTGCCTCAGATTTCTCCCGCTTTATTTGGGCAGGCAGATTTCATCACCTAACCGCAGAGGCTAACATGAAGCAAGTTAAGCCAGTTTTACATCAACTATAGTTTTTTTTTTCTTTTCAGAACGCCTCGCCGAGGGTAAAACCTTGTTCTTTTCCACGCGATCGAGCTTCAACTGTTCCGAAGCTCCCGAATCCGCTCCGGTTCATTTATCGAGCTCAGGGCAACGGAGTGCCAGCACCAATATTCCTCCATCTCTGCTCATTTCCTTTTTTGAAAAAAGTGTGTTAGATTTTGCCTTTCCCGATCTGGTTTCCTCCCTTATTTTTATTTTTTTTATTTTTTTTATTTTTTTACCTCTCCTGATTAGATTTATTCACAGCGACAAAAGAAACGGATATAAAGCTGTGAGAGGATGGATGTTTTGTTTATGTTTTTTTTTATTTCTCCTCTCTCAGTTTCTCCTTCTCAAGTTGAAATAAACAATCCAGACATTGAGCGCAGAACCTGAGAGTCCCAGACACGACATGATTGGATTTGTTTTATTTTTGTTTTGTGTGTGTGTGTGTGTGTGTGTGTGTGTGTGTGTGTGTGTGTGTGTGTGTGTGTGTTTTCTGGTGCAGGGAAGAAAAAAAATATTCCTCCTTGAGGGAAATCAAACTCTTGTCAGGTTAGTTGACTGTACACACACAGGCTTGCTCGTCATTTATTAAATTTCCCTTTTCCTCGGCCGGAGATATGTCAGCTGGATTTTATGTGTTTGCACTCATCACCGTGCTGGGAATTGGGCTTTTCTGTCGTCGCAGACAGACTCATGAATACACATCGGGCTGAGATGAAAAGAGCAGGGCGTCCTCGTGTTAATTAGACGGGCTAAATTCCACTAAAAGGTCAGACCGGCTGTTTCAGTGACACTTTTTAGCGCTCATTAAGGCCCCGATTTAATGTAATGTGATTGTGTATTGTCTGGTAAGTGGCTGGTTAAATGAAGGATTACAGTTTTTTTTCTTCTCAGAGGTCACTGAAGCTGGATCTAATGTGTGTCATTTCACACATTTTATTTTCTTCAATATAAAATATTGACAACTGAGTTTATTTAAGTTTGGTTTTTTGGGGATTTTTTGTTTTGTTTTTTGCATAAAAATAATAACCAAGTGATACCTGCCAAACCTCCTGGGTGTTGCGGGAGGGGGGCAGGTTTTGACCTGGAGTGCCCAGTGAGAGGCGCTCCAGGCTGGGATGGGAGTGGTGCAACGCTCCCATCCTCTGGTGAGTGATAGAAATTCAAAGTGGTGTGTTGTTGTTGTTACTGTTAGGCCTGATTCAGAGTGACTCCTGCTTGTACTCCAAAACCAAGCAGCATGATTGCAGTGACTGTGATTGCATGTGTTCTTACAGGACTGGTCTTCACTTCAGGACAGAGTTTGTGGATAATTTCATCAGCCTGTGTGTTCGGGGATCTGTGTTACGTTGGAACTCGACAAATTAAAGTCATTGTGGCTGCTGCCAGGAAAACAGGACTGTTTCTGCAGGGCAGTGGAAGTGTTGTGTCATACTGACCGGCCAACACGTTATGTCATTGTTTTATTATGTAACTGCAAAGTGTTAAAACAGGTTTTTCCTCATCTGTTGTTTTTGCTGGGGTTTTTTATACTTAAATCTTTCAAACCATCAAACAGATTTTTGTGAGAGCAAATACAAAATGCAGTTTTTAGTCCATTATTTTATTTCTTACTAATAATTGATAAAAACCAAACGAGAAACAACACTGTGGCATATATAAGTATGTAAAAATCTACGCATAAATTTCTAAGGATTTGGGACTGCAGCGAACCACAGTGAGAGTCATTAGTAAATGAGACAAAAATAAAACACATGAGAACATGGAGAACTTTACCAGGAGTGGTCAGCCTACCAAAATGACGTAAAGAGACCATCAGTAGCTGGTCAGAAAACAAACTAAAAATAAATCAAAAACACAGCAATCCTCAGAACTGAGGTTCTTGTTCATGATTCAACATCAATAAAGAGACAGGGCAACGATAACGTTCATGAAAAACTGCATGGATCTTAATGTAAAACGGACACAAATGTCTGTATCACGTTGGCCAAAGAACATCTTCATGAGTCCCTGGAGTTTAAGGATGCAGTCATAACATCTTCAGAGGTTTTCTTGTTGTTTCATTCAGTGGTTCTTGGTGCAGCGCCACCACAGGTGAGGTGAGGAACAGGTTTGATTAACGGTGCAGTGTGAAAGAGAACCGCAGCAGCTGAAAAAGGAGCAAATGTGTTGATGAGTTTGCTGGACTATCAAGTGTGAAAACATCCTTTGGTTACTGAACACCATAGTCAAACGTGGAGGCGGTGGTGTGATGGTCAGGACCATGGTCCATCAGGACCTGGACGACTTTTCACGACAGATAAATGGATGAATTTCACAAAATGTCAAAAGACATTAAGACATTTAAGACTGAAATCCTTTGGGTAACTATCCTTATTTTCTACCAGGTATTACTTTGTCTTGCCAAATTGGAAGGTCAAGGATCATTTTCCTCTCCCCACTATGACCAGCATGTCCTTGTATTTGCTTGTGTGAGTTGTGATTGTGCGTACTGTGTGATTGCAGGCAGCGTCGGGGGCCCTTAGCAGCCTGGGCCATGTGTACACCGCCATAGGGGACTACCCCAACGCTCTGGCCAGCCACAAACAGTGTGTCCTGCTGGCCCGCCAGACTGGCTGCCAGCTGTCTGAGGCACGCCAGCTGGGCGACATGGGTGCCGTTTACACCGCACTGGGAGACTTCACCAACGCCGTCCAGTGTCACGAGCAACACCTCAATATCGCAAAGGTACGAGAGACGTGATGTGAGAAGTATTCACCCACCTTTCAGGTTTTTTTCCCACATTATGCTGTATTATGTGGTTCTGTTAATGTTTTTGAGGTGATTTTGTGACAGGACAACAAAAAGTAGCACATGATGGTGAACTATCTGATGGCATGTTAGGGACATTGTAGATATTTTCACCAAAAAACTCTTTGCTAGAAATTTGCTGGAAAGGAAACGCAGAAATTATGAGATCAATCTCAGAAATTTTCTAGAAAAGCATGGAAATTTATTAGATTAATCTCAATTTTAGCTAATTTCTGAGCTTTTTGGTGGAAATTTACTCCCCCTTCTTTTCTTCTTTATATATATAAACATATTTTTATATGTGAATATAGTTTTTTAAGCCCTGTATCTCTTTCCTTTTACCTAACAAAATTGCACCAGAGTGTTGTTCTATCAGATAAAATCCCAATAAAATCCATTAAATCCATGTGAAAATCAATTTAATGGTCTCATAACAGCCTTTTGGACTTTTCCCTTTTGTTATTTCCCAGCTTGTAACCTCACAGCGATGAAGACTGAAGGAAAAAGGTTATTTTGACCCCATTTGGCATCAGTAGTCTGCTGGTGTTGATATTTCCACTAAATTCCTCCAAATAAATCTGCTACTTTTTTTTTTTTTAAATCAAATTCAGACTGTCGTCTTTGTGAACTATTTTACAGAGGGAGCTTTAAGAAAATAATATTAAGTAAGAAAAGCCTGTTTTATTTTATTTGTCAGTTAAATCCCATTTGAGACTTTGGAGACATCGTTCAGCATTATAGTCAAATCAAACAGTTCCTTTCTGTATAGTGGTCATTTCTTGCTTCGCCCTTCATTTGTCTTTAATTCCAAAGTAAATGTTTAATCCATAAGAAGAATATTTGCCTTTGACTCTATCAGTGAACATTTTTGTACTTAGGATAAACAATGAAAATGAAAACTAGTCCACTTTTTTACAATGTATTATTGTGGCAGAGAAATTATCATTCAAAACGGGACACAAATACTATACAATACTACACCTTGCTACACTATACTATGCTATGCCATACTATACTGTACAACACTACACTATACTATACTGTACTATGCCACACCGCACTATGCTAAACCATACACTAAACCATTCTACATTATACTGTACTGTGCTATACTGTGCTGCGCTGTGCTACACAATGCTATGCTACACCATACTATTCTGTTACACTATACTGCACTGTGCTGTGCTGCAGTGTGCTATACCACACCATAATATACTACGCTGTTCAGCACTATGCTACACTATACTATGCTATGCTGTTCTGCGCTATACCACACTATACTATACCGTACTATACTATGCTATGCTATACTATACCCTGCTATACTGTACTATGTTGTACTATACTATGCTATGCTGTGCTATACTAAGTGCCAGTTTAGAAGGACAGGAATGTGTGGAATGTGCAGCTAGTGAATTGCTGAGCTGGACTTTTATGAGGATGCAAATTCTTTAAAAAAATCATCTCTTTAGGTTATCTTTAGTTGGCATGTGGACAAACGTGCATTTTTATATTAGAGTCTTACAAACTAAATATTTTCTTGAAGTCTGTCAGCTATGGTGATTTTTGGTGACATGGAAGAAAAATAAAATTGTGACCACGACTTAGATAACTTCTGTCAATGACTTATTTATTTTGTGGGACCAACTTTACTATAACATGTCTTATTTACTCCTGGGCATAAGTTATTAATTTGTGGTCACCGATTATTAAGTTGTGAGCCCGACTTAATTAGTCTCCACGAGATTTTAAGTTGTGACTCATGGTAAGGAGATGTGTTATTCATGGCCACGACTTAATGTCTCATGGAAACAACTTATTTATTTTGTGGGGACAACTTAATTATAGCAATTCATGGCCACAAATTAAATAAGTCCTGGCTAATAGTTGTTGGTTTTATTTTCCATGTCACCAGACGACCTTTGCTAACAGCAAATATTTCAACTTTTTTCATTTTTAGCAGCAATGTACAGTATGTCTTGTCATGAATAGCAGGACTTTATCAATACAGTGTTGATGTCTTTGGCAGTCTTTGGAGAACCGGAGAGAGGAGGCCCGGGCGTACAGCAACCTCGGCAGCGCCTACCACTCGCAGCGGGACTTTGACAAGGCCATATCTTACCATACCAAGGTGCTGGAGTTGGCACGGGAACTGTCGGACAGATCGATTGAGATGAGGGCGTACGCCGGTCTGGGTCACGCTGCTCGATGCATGCAGGTGGGCAGAAAACCTTTTCAAGATGCTCACCGCAGATCGTCATTCCTGAACTACAACTTGATGAATGTCATTTTTATTGTGACCTTTTTCCAGGACCTGGAGAGGGCCCGTCAGTACCACCAAAGCCAGTTAGAGATTGCTCAGGAGCTGCAAGACAGGGCGGCTCAGGGCCGGGCTTCCTCCAACCTGGGTAACTCCACTCCCACCGTTGTTCAGGCTGTGCTTTGGGTTTTGTTTGTGATCGCTGGTTTTTCTCTCGGTGGCAGAAAGCTCTGTCAGCATATCTACACAGGAACCTTTAAAGTCTCATTAAGCTGTTGAACCACTTTGGACAATCTGGTTTGCATTGAACAGCGTCGTTAGCAATCCCAATGAAGCGGTGTTGATACGTTTCTGCATCAGAGTTGGCCGTAGCACTCACACTGTGACACTGCGACAACCTGGTCTGCTGTGGTGAATCGGGTGATGGGAGCGTTAGATAATGCGAGACTCCATGACCCCACCTGTTTCTGTTTTCAGAGCCTATCACACGACCCCATTGGAGGCTCTCTGGATGAGCAACGCTCATGTTTTATTAAGTAGGTTTTGGTTTCTGCGGCTCCAGTGATATCTGAGAGGCTCTGAACCCAACTCCAGTGCTGAGTGGACAGCTCACCATCCAGCACAGACGTTTGGGCCCTGAAAGGGGCCAGCAATTCAAATATGACCCCATTAAGCTGCTGACAATGAAAGTATTATTAAATGAGAGAGCTTTTATTAGTGGTGGGAATCGTTCACTAACTCACGGTACGATTCGATTCTAGTTTTTGGGGCCACAATTAGATTCAAACTGTTTTTTTTTTTTCAAGTCAAAACAATTATTCATAATGATTTCTGCTTAAACCTCTTGGTGTGTAAAGGATCCTCATGAATTACTCCAGTCTGCTTTGGAAGGTAGAATGAAAAAATGGAGATAAAGTGACACGTTTATTAAATTTTAAATGTTTGTTTTCACAGAGAGAACCCTACACTTCTCTGACCACAGCCTCCTCTGTGGATAATTGCTTTGCAAATTTCCATCCAGAGATTTTTAGCCATTTGATAGTCTTTGCAATTATTTAGCAAAGAATTGTAAGAAGCATACATAATTCTGCACCACGTCAGATAAACGTCCCGTAGTCATGTTGCCTGCAGATACAAAAAACCGGACACTGGAAGCGGACTGGCTTTAGCGAAATATCAACATTGCTGTTAGAACGTCTTTCTGCATAAAACACGGCGACAAACTTCTGACCAATCACAGAGCACTCCTCTGGTTGCTCTGTATGGCGAACGTAGCTCAGCTGCTTTAGCTTTGTGAATTTGTGAAAGTTCTCAATGTTCTTAATCTGTGTTTTGCGAATGTTGCACACTGTGAAGCTCATGTAAAGCTCTGTTTTCTTGGTATTTGGTAAAATAATAATAATAATAAAAAAATGTTCAAATGTTTGCCATCAACAAAGACAGGACCAGTCGAATCTCTCTCTTTAATTTTTGTCGTTTCGTCTTTGTTTTGTTGCTTTCTCCCGTGTTACCGTCTGCATGGCGACGTCAGAGCGTCCCGTGAAGTCGACAGACAGCGTATTTGCTTTATTTTTTAAAATCAAGTTTGCGACATTTTGAATTGATTATGAATCATAGTATATTAAAATCTGGATTCTTAAGGGAATCTTTTTTTTGCACACCCCTGGCTTTTATCAATTGTCATTCTGCCGTGGGTCATGTGATGATATTAAGTAACAATATGTTTCTTTCAACCTTTCATCTTATTAGCTGAAACCAGTAATAGAAAAAGTGTGCAAACGGCCAGTAAAGCCCGGTGTGTTAATCAGCTTTGAGTTTCCTCCCACATCCTCTGAAACGGCACAGACTCACTCTGTAAACAGGTTGGATTCAGACACAGAGTTTACCATTTTAACATCCCAGAATTGCTAGTTAAATCTTGGTTTCTTAGTGATTTCAACTAAAATATTTAGCAAAATAAAATAAAATAAAATAAAAAATAACTTTTTATCTCAGAAATTAGCGGTTTTATCTGTTTTCTGTTTCTGCTCTTCAGAATTATCCAGGATTTCCCGTTGGGTGTCATAAATAAGTTTTGCATTTGAATTGCAGTGCGGGAAAAACACAACTTCCCTCTGTCTCCCACCAACTTACCAATATGCACAATATGGAGGTGGCGTTGCCTTTCCTCAGCTGGAAACTGTGGGGGGGAACACGTGGAGTGGTCTCTGCGTGCAGCACATCCTCGTTTCTGTGTAAGGGCCCACAGCATTACTCATCTCTGCAGTCTGTCTGTTTCAGAAGGTCCCTAAATAATCTAAATAAAAGTGCCTGCTTTTGTAACACAACCCCTGCTTTTGCATTTGTTCTTCAACCTGAAAAGGTTGGAAACATTCAGCTGAGTTTATCAGTGAGTTCTTGACCTCTTACCGTGGTAAAATGGTGTTTTCATTCTCTGCAGCCGGCTGCAGTGTTGTGTGTTGGGCAGCGTGTTCACATTGCTCACTGACAGCTCTGTCTACAGAAGACGAATCCTAACATCCACCTGAACTTCACCGGCTGCGGGATGAGCCTCCGACTCTCTGAACTAAAAGGCCCGAAATCGAGCAGATGAACCGGATTCATTCCGTTTCCTCTCGCCTTCTCATCTTGGTTTAAAGACAACAGAGTTGCGCCATCGCCACAGAGTCGTGTTTTTTGCCGTCTGAAGTGAGAGAGAGAGAAAACGGAGCACAGGAGCTGCTTTGATGTGTGACTAACGGGCCTAAGCTGGAGTTGCTGACACTCTCCTGACAGACGAGCCTCAGTCTGTGGTTCAGATCAATGTTTCAGCTCATCATTTATGGATGATTACAGTCCTTTGACTGCTGACTTGACAAGCCTCCACTCTCCTCTCCTCCATCTGTGTCTCCGTCTTGTTTTTTATTCTCTACCTCTCTTGTTCTTACCTCTGCTCTAATATCTAGTAAGAATCAGAGGGAGTTCAATTGAATGAATGACTTTTGTATCCCTTTAGCCTAAACAGATCCGATTGCCCAGCTGCGCACTGAGGATCTTTGTTTAATATTGGGCTGAAACGATGAATTGAGTTTATCGTGATGAATTCAGATAATCGTCAACTAATTTAGTAATCGATTAATCGTTAACTGGAGGCCATTTGCTAAAAGAAAAACATACTCAAAGAAACTACAAAAAATATATACATTTTGACTTTAAGACAAGAACAAACCTTTGTCTGTAAATATGTCTTAGCCAAAAAAACACCTAGTTTCAGCTTCACCGTGTCGCCTCTCCTCCAGGAGGCAATCGCTTCTCACTGTCCGAGGGTCCAGACCGTCTGGATGAGGCGAAGCGTTTTTACCAGGGTACAGTGAAATAAGAAGGTAACAGGTTTTTTTCATCGGGCGTTTTGACTCTTCGGACTATATTTAAGCAGACCCGGTTAATTCACAGCAACCGCTTCCCTCTCTCTGTGGAGGAAGGAGGTCATAGGTCACTGATGTCCTCCCTAATCTCCCTCAGCAGAGTGCCTGCTCATCAGATTTCAGCTCATTTTCCACATCTCTAATCCCGGCTGCTCACGCTGCGGCCCGTCCACTCAGGAGGGGGGATCCCGCCGTCCTCCAGAGTGTCTGCTCACCAGACACGCTGCGCTGTCGTCATAGGGGAAGCTCTTCGTTGGTTTGTGATTGCCCCGCCATTTGCGGTGTTACCGAGACGGCGTGTAAACATTACCGAGTCTTTCTGCCAACTCTGCAGGCGTCGGTGTAATCCTCTTAGCTCAAGACCCCAACGAGCGAGGTTTCATTATCAGCCACATCCTCAACTCCCATCAGCCCCTTTTCCAATATATACTGAGGCTAGCAGAAGCATTCATACCCCAGGTGCATTTTGATATTCCGTCATGTTTCAGCATTTATGTTTTATGTATTTAACCTGAAAATGATACACAGCATTAGAAGTTTTTTTTGTTTATTTGTTTTTTTTTTTTGTTTTTGTTTTTTTTTTTACAAATAGCTATCTGGAAAATGTGTCCATTTGTATTTTGTCATTGCAGCGCCACATTTTGTGTGTTTGGGGTGTGTTTCAAAATTTTTGCCTGTTCTTCTAAACTCAACTCGTTTCAAATCTCACCACAGATTCTTACTTTGGACTGGGTCGTTCTAATGCATATTAATCTGAGCTATCTAAGGAAACCCACTGAGTCACTGACCTGCAGAATTCAGTCCTCCTTGACGAGCACCCACACGGTTTTTTTCAATAAGTTCATGTTTTTAGGACAAAGACCTCCAGAATGTAACATCACAAATCAACAGGCTTACCATCCAGAAACCACTTGTTCAGTTCTTGTTTGGCTGTGCAGGAGGCTCCACTTCTACTTTTCGAAGATGTTCAGTTGTATAATTGCGCGTCTGTTTGCAGCCATTTTCTCATGCGAGTGTAAATGTAGAGTTTGGGGGGCGTGGCCAGCAGCAGCCAATTTTGATTTAAAGTGACAGAGGCCGTGAAGCAGCTCATTCTGAATTGAGCTCAAATGTAGACAAAACTGAGCAACTAAAGTCTCAGTATCTAAGAATGATTCTGTGCAAAATGTAATGTAATCTGTAATGTATCCTAACTTGTCCAAGAAGCCCAAGAGGTCACCTTTAATTTTAAACCCTGCTTTAAATGTATCCAAAACTTTCTCCCTGACCTTTCTGCTGGACTTCTTGGTCTCCATGGTGCCTTTTGGTCACTGATGATACAAAAGTGAACTCTAGTCACTGCGTGACTGCAGTTACGCTAAATGTTTCACAATTCCATTAATTATCTGCCACCTTGTGTTCGTCTGTCACAGGAAAAAAAATCATGATAAAGAGCAGAGAAGTTTGTATTTGATGTGGAATCGCTCCATGCAGACGGCAGCATGACGGGCTACTGGATGTTTTCCTGCATCTTCACAGCTGCCTGCTTCATTTAGCTTCACTTTTCATAATGTGTGCAAAAACATGCATGTGTCATGTCTGTGAGCACCTCATGCATACAAAAGCTCTTTGAGTTCACGTCTCACCGACCGCGATGTTTTGCAGCTGCAAACCGTATGGTGAAATTCCAATTAAAGGACACTTTGAATAAAATATGTGTGATTTAATTAGTCAATTTCTCTCTACGTTGATTTATAATTATTAATTTACTTCTGATATTTATTCATGATTATTAATTTTACTTCTGTTTAGTTTATTCTTGGTTGTATACTATTCTGTGTTTTCTTATATTTTAGAGCAGGTTAAATAAATGACCATTATAACAAATGATAGCTTTTCATAATGATGATATTTATATTAAACTAGCAGTTGTTGCTCTCATAGCATATTGAATTTATCTCACCTTGCAAAAAGCACTGAAAGTATTTATGAAAGGATCTAATCTAAGGTCACGTTTTGGGAAGCGGGGTTGTTTTCAAACCATTATTTTAACTGGATTTTTTTCTTCAAAATTCATTAATAATTTGGTTTAATTCAAATACTCCAATTTTGAAAAAAAAAAAAAAAAACCATAGGAATTTTTTCAAAATCAGAAAATAAGTTTGCTTAATGGAAACGGATTTGCGGATTGGAATTTATTTGAATTTTGTTAATAAATTAGCTTAATTAGTTTTGAAAAAGAAAACTCTTGTTCTTCAATTGGTTTTTTGGACGTATTGAAAGTACTGTATTCCAAGGGAAATGCTTTATTCACATCACAAGTCATGTGATCAACAACAGGGCGTTACTACTGGCAAAAACAACAAAGTAGGCGACAGGAAGTGTTAGCGGATGATGGCACATGATTTTTAATGACTTATCTCGTGAACAAACTTATTCAAATGATCTTAACTGTGTTTCTTATTTAACGGAAACACCGCAATTGCAAAAATTGTGTCTTTTCGACATTAATGGAATAACAGCAAAGTCGTGTGCACACTTGTGATAGAAACAAAACACAGCTGGTGTGTCACTTTAATGTGTTTGGAGTAAAGTAGCTGCTGATTTTGGCTTTTAGCGGCATCACTGGCAGAAAGAAAAGAACATCCAAGAGACACGCATGAAACCAGAGTCAACATGTGACCTCGTCCATCTGGTGTCTCGACGCCCCCCGTAATCACACTTCCCTCTGTCATTCATCATTTGTCCCAGTCTCTTTCAAGAGCAACAGAATCTGTACATCACCCAGGTTCTCTGCTTTTCTGTCTGTGAGAAATCGATTCTGCAGCAAGTTCTTTCTGTTTGACGGTTTCCAAAACCGTCAAGGATTTTCAGACCGCGTCTTTTAACTATCAACTGTATGAACGTAACCTATTTTTCTAAACTACAAAAATGTTCCAGTCTTAGTTCTAATAGAATAACTAAAATCATTTAGATTAGCCAATTCCCAACAGAATGACTGAGAGAGTTATTTCTGACTCCATAAACTTTCATTTCCTAAGATTTCTATGCCTTAAAAAAACTTTGAAACCCTAAATTATGTCTAATTCAAAACACTCAAGAAAACTAAAATTATACAGTAAATACAAAAATGTGGAATTAAAATAAAATTCTTCTATTTCCTGTTTTAGATTGTAGATTATTTCTGAGGTGAAACTCTTTGTCTCAAGTGTCCCATGCTCCTTATTCTTGAATGATCAAACTTTTCTAGCTCTGTCTCTAAAATCTGCGTTGTTGACGGAGGAAAACTTCATCACAGGAAACGTCAGGATACTCACAGTAGTTTCCTGTCCCTGGACAGAGAATCTGATCCGTGCGTCTGCACTGAAGAGCCTCAGCGGCAGATATTATTAGATTTGTTGGGTTTCCGCCCCAAAGCTTATGAATTATTTACTGCTCTGCAACAATATCTCATATTTCACAGGTCTGACAATAATGTCAACCCAGATTTTCACAGGGATGTTTTATATTTACATTTCTAAATCTTATAGTGGGTTATTAATATGGTTTTGAACCTGCAAGACAAAACCAAAGCAGTTAATCCATAGTCATCAAAAGCTCTACCAAAGAAAAGATTTAAAATTCAACTCAAATTCAAAAATGCTTTATTTATTCCAAAGGGAAACTAAGCATTGTTGTGACTTTTACCATCCAAGTATCTTTAAAGAGTCACTGCAGTTGGTGATGCAAGGAAGAATCTCCTGTAGCAGTCAGTGTTGCTACACATTTGATGAGGCTTCTGTTGCTTCATTACAGTCTCATAACTGTTATACATACTAACGTCTCCATTTCCAGGACAACATATCCTGGATGACTCCGTCAGTTGTTAGCTAGCACTGCTAATCCGCCTCATTTATTTTTGCACATAAAATTATTCTTCCTGGCGACTGGGTTCTCTCTGTTCTGACATTTAAAAGGAGGGATCCTGTTCCTGACGGCTTTTCTCAATCCATAAGCGATAATGCAATGATTGTGAATAATAGTTTATTAATTTGGCTCCTTCTTGTTTACTCTTAGATTTAAAAAAAAAAAAAAACCTTTGGCTAAAGCTAAAGATGAGTGAGATTATGCTTCATTCCCTTTATTTGCTTCGCTGAGTGTCATGCTGTTATTTTCTCTCCCGTTCTGAATCAGGCATTATACATCATATGAAGGGGGAGTATGAAACAGCGCTGAAGCTCCACAAAGCCCACCTGTCGTTGGCGCAGGAGCTGGGTGACTATGCGGCACAGGGCAGGGCCTACGGGAACATGGGTAACGCACATCATGCGCTGGGCGTCTACGACCAGGCGGTGCGGTACCACAGGCAGGAACTGCAGATCTCTCTGGAGGTGAATTCCTGCAGTCTTCACTTTGGTAACTTGGGCTGAAACGATTAACTGTGATCAATCGATTATTCAAGTAATCTTCAATTAATTTAATCATCAATTAATTGCTAACTGGAGTACAGACTCAAATTGGCAATTTGCTGAAAGAACTAAATACTCAGAACTGTAATTAAGCCAAAAATATGAACACTTGCATGTAAGATGAACAAAAGTTCTTTGTAAAAAGAACTTTTCAAATAAAAGTTGTAGCTCATTATTTAATGAATTGATAAATTGATAAATAAAGAAATAATTTTTATTTTGTTTTGCATTTTAGGCATTAAAATGTTTTATTTTCCTTTTTAAAAATGTAATTGATTGGTGCCATCATTTAATATATTTATTAAATTGTATTTAAAAATTGGCATGGTTTATTGAAAAATTTGCAGAATGTGAAATTTTTGTATCCAATTAATCGATTAATCTCCGAATAATTGATAGAAAATCAGAATAATTGATTAATCATTTGAATAATTGATGGAATAATTACTTGAATAATTATTACATTTTGTAGAATGTGCCAATTAAAAAAAAAACGATTAATCGATTAATCATCTGAAAAGTCGATTCCTAAAATAATGGTTAGTTGAAGAGTGAAAATCACATTTGTCTTGAGTGACTCTTCTGTCTTGGCGCTGCAGGTGAACGATCGCCAGTCGCAGGCCTCCACTCATGGTAACCTGGCGGTGGCTTATCAGGCGCTGGGAGCTCATGACCGTGCTCTCCAGCATTACCGTCACCACCTGACCATCGCACGGGAACTCAGAGACACTCAGACAGAAGCGAGAGCCCTAGGCAGGCCAAACAAAAGAGAAAGATGGATTTTTTTAAATGACTTCCTGAGCAGGTGTGCTAACGTTTCTGATTTTGCTCTGCAGCAAACCTGGGGAACTTCCACAGCTGGAGGGGAGAGTACGCTCAGGCTCTGCCCTACTTCCAGCAGTACCTGGCTCTGTCCCCGGGGCTGCAGGACCTGGAGGGCGAAGGGAAAGTCTGCCACAACCTGGCCTATGCTCACTACTGCCTGGGACAGTACAAAGATTCTGTCAGGTGAGCGAAGCGTTGCTACGCAGGTGAAAGCTTTTCTTTTTTGCATACTTGGTGAAAACCTTCTGATTTGAAACATTTTCGTCGATTCCTCAGGTATTATGAGCAGGACCTGGCCCTGGCTAAAGATCTGCAGGACAAATTAGCACAAGCTAAAGCCTACTGTAACCTGGGTTTGGCCCACAAAGCTCTCGGAGAGTACAGCCGAGCAGAGGAGTGTCAGAGATACCTGCTCTCTCTGGCTCAGGCTCTGGACAACACACAGGTCACCCAGCTGACGCTCTGTTCACTCACACACCGTGGAGCTGCTGGTTTTCAGGGAGCAGTCGACGTTAACCGGCGGTGTTGTGTTTCTGTTGCTCAGCAGGCGGTTTTCAGGGCCTTCGGGAACCTCGGGGACGTGTTTGTGTGTCGGGGGGATCTGCCCGGAGCGCTCAAGTTCTACCAGCAGCAACTGGCTGTGGCTCAGAAAGCTGCCAACCAGAAGATGGAAGCCGACGCATACGCTGCACTGGGATCCGTTCACAGGTAGTGAGGAAGTTCACCGCTGTGTGCTTCGACCTCTGCACTGTGACAGCGGGTGCTGGGATTACGTTTTGTTTTCTTTGGAGAACAAAATTTGCATTTCTGGATCAGAATCTTTACCTCAATGTTTTTATAGATTCCCAAAAGGGCCAACATTTCCAAATCCAACATGTCAACAGAGTTAAAGAGAGATTTTACTGTAATCTGCTCAGCCTTACTGTTATCTGCTCTCTCTCCCATCCTGAAGGAACAGCAAACCTTTCTTGACTTTCCTCTCCCTTCATTTGTAACTCCTCTTCCTCTGCCTCCTCACCCTTCTCTCCCATACAGGCTGCTCCGCCAGCTGGACGCCGCCCTGTCCTTCCACAGCCGGGAGCTGACTCTCCGTAAGGACCTGGCCGACCCCCAGGGGGAGTGCCGGGCGCTGGGCCGCCTGGCGGCAGTCCACATGGCGCTGGGCGACTACACCACGACCTTCCAGTGCTACGAGGCCCAGCTGGGGCTGGCGCAGGGCCTCCGGGACGCCCGACTGGAGGCGCAGGTCCACGGGAACATGGGCATCACCAAGATGAACATGGCGGTGTTCGAGGAAGCCATCGGATACTTCGAGCAGCAGCTGGCCATGCTGCAGCAGCTGAGCGGCAGCGAGGGCATGCTGGACAGAGGGAGGGCCTACGGGAGCCTGGCCGACTGCTACGACGCCCTGGGAGACTACGAGGAGGCCATCCAGTACTACGAGAAGTACCTGACGGTGGCTCAGAGTCTCAACCACGTCCAGGACCAAGAGAAGGCCTACAGAGGCCTGGGAAACGCACACAGGTTGGTGTCAGCTGGTGGAAGGAAAACCTCCAAAACCTGTTCCTTGTTTGTTGGAGTCCTTACTGTTTTAGGAACCTCTACTTTACTTTCTGACCTATTTCTTCTGAATATTATTGTTTTCCTTTTTCTCTTTTGTAACCCAACTGAAAGGGGTTAATAGTTCTATTTCTATTTTTTACATTTATTTTCCTTTATTTTATTAACTGGAAGTCTGTTGAGTTGACAGGAAGTTTGCCATGCAACAAGTTGGCTGACTGTGACATTGTGTACATGCCTGGAACTGGGTTACATTTATAATTCTGATATTGACTTACAGTAAGCTGAGAGTCTGCCGGCAAAGTAAACATCTGGATTTGAACTGGAGCTAAAAACAATGGAGCTCATTCAAAATGGCAACACAATTGTTTCTCACACAAAACATGAATACACTTTTATTGTGCATATTCTTGTAATATTGGCTTTCAACTTTTATTTTCTAGTGTTTTTTTCAAAACGAGTTTTTGCACACATTTCCTTGTTAAAGAACAAGTTGTTTTTTTAATCCAGATAATCCTGGTGAGATGATTGGTAAAAACACACTAAACAAAATATTTTGAGTCATATTTGACTCTCCAGGCCAAAACTAGGAACAAGTCAAACAGACAAAAACAAAAAATGAAAACCATCAATTTGAAAGTAATGATTTTTAGGTATTTATGCAGAGTATAGTAGATGAATTCATGAAGAAACCACCACAGGCTTTAAATCGTAGTTTTGAAGGTTTTCAAATTGTAAACTTTGTAGTTCGTTTACAAAGAACAAAAACACAAAATCTTACCAAGTATTTTTTTTCTAGTTTATAACCCTAATATCTAATTACGCTAAAAATAAGACTAAACTTGTTCCAGTGGCAGATTATTTCACTTATTACAAGACATTTTGCTCATGTTAAAATTGAAGAAGTCTCCCCGGATCAACAACTTTTTATTTATATTCAACAGTCAATTACTTAAAACAAGGTCCTATATCTCACTGGAAAGTTGCTTGTACATCAGTTTTGTCTTTCAATCGGATCCCTTCATCAGCCTGTTTCCATGTAATTCAACACAAGTCGTGTTAACAGACAGAAGTCTTAACGAGGAGTTTCTCTCCTCCATCTGGTGTTTCTGCTCTCCAGACTGTGAATGAGACGATAGTGAAGAGAAAGGAGAGCCTCATTTGGCTCAAACTCAGCTTCTGTTAAAGCATGAAAAGAGGGTAAAAGCACTTTAATACAGCCAAAATATATCTAAACAATCTGTTATTTTTTTTCTTTTCTTTTCTTCCGTTTTCCCTGTGGGTGCAGGTCCATGGGCAGTCTCCAGCAGGCGCTGGTGTGCTTCGAGAAGCGGTTGGTGGTGGCCCACGAGCTGGGCGGCGAGGGCGGGGGGAAGGCGCAGGCTTACGGGGAGCTGGGCACCCTGCACAGCCAGCTAGGGAACTACGAGCAGGCCCTGTCCTGTCTGGAGCACCAGCTCAGCATCGCTCGCTCAGCAGGGGTAAGGTTCACACTGCCAGGCTGCCAGTCTGGCAGGAAATAGTATTTGTGAAATGTATATCGGAGACGGTAATAATCCCTCGTTTCATGTGGCAGGATAAATCCCTGGAGGCCGAGGCGAGCGACGCCCTGGGAGGCGTTTATCAGCTGATGGCAGACAACGAAACTGCTCTGCAGGTTTGTACTATGCTGCTCTTTATTTCTATCTGTCTAGTCAGCTCAGCATAAAGAGCAGAGACAGGTGAGGAAACATCCAGAGGTGTTTAAAGTGTCCAAAAGTTGTGTTCAAGTGAGAATTGCACCACATCAACATGTTTCTACTCAAGTTAAAGTAAAAAGAAACGACTCAAGTAAGAGCGGTTTGGTAAAAATCAAGTAGTAACAAATCAAAACATCTTTTAATGTTTAAAAAAGACCAAATCTTGTTTTTTCAAAGCTGCAGTGTGCAAATTTTAAAAAAATGATTTTTTTATGTATTTGTTGAAACTGTCAAAATGCCATAACAGAATGATATGAGGCAGATAACCTGTGACAAATATCCATCTCCTCTGCCTAACTCGAAACAACCAATCAGAGCCAGGAGGCGGGTCTTAGCGCTGTCAATCATCCCTCCTTTGGCATTGCTCATTCAGTCTTTTTCTTCCCCCTTTGCTCTCTGCTGCACTGCAGCTAGCATAGCCTGTTGTGAATGCTAAGGCTAGTTAGCATAGCCACTAATGACTTCAGATAAACAGTTTTCCAATTGTTTCTCCACCTTTAGCACATTTAGCAGCACATACACAAGGTTGATTGAGTCATTCAGTGAAGTCCCTCACAGTAGGCCTGTCACTATAACAAATTTTGCTGGACTATAAATTGTCCCAGAAGATATTGCAATAAATGATGATATTGTTGTTTTGGACCATTTTCCAAGTAATACAATGTTAATGGCAAATTAATGAAAGAACACATTCTCAATGATGAATAAACTTCACATTCTATTGAACATTTTACGCTGAAACTGAAAGACTTTTTAAATATCCAAAACAAAACAACAGAAGCAACAAATAAAATGAATGATGAAGGCTCTATGAACAGAATAAGGGCTGGTTGAGACCAAAGCACCAGACTGAAGCCTTCTGTCACGAAACAATTTGGTAGAAAGAGAAAAACAGTAAATCAAGCAAATGGAAATTATTGAGCTTATTAAATTATTTTCATTTACCAGGCCAGCCATTTGTTGATTTATTGCTGGTTGCGACAGGCCTAACTCACAGTGTGTTTCCAGAAATTTTACTCAAATAAGAGGCAGGCAGGCAGGCTTCATTCACACACACATTCCTGATTAAAGTGATATGATGTAATTAAGCCTGCTGTTCCTGCTGCAGTGGCACCAGAGGGCGCTGAGCATCGCCGAGCAGACGGGCTGCGTGAGGAGCCAGGGCCGCGCCTACGGCAACCTGGGCCTGACCTACGAGGCTCTGGGGAACTACGAGCGGGCCGTGGTGTTTCAGGAGCAGCACCTCAGCGTGGCGGCGCAGACCAACGACCTGACGGCCAAAACTATGGCCTACGGAAGCCTGGGGAGGACACACCACGCCCTGCAGAACTACACTCAGGCTGTGATGTACCTGCAGGAAGGTGATGCACAAGATACACACACACACGCACGCACAAACACACACACCTTCAGTTATACAGACGCAAACAGAGTTTCTCTTCTTTGCCAGTAGTTTACAAGCTTTATTTATAAAAATGTGATTTCTATCGTTTAAATATTTCACATTTGCCTCATAAAGTTTTGCTAGTTGTTTGTTTTCAGGGCAGGAAAATTAGAGCTGCACCGATCCGATACTAATATCTGTATCAGTGCTGATATTGAAAACCATTCTAGATCTGATATCGACGACAATGTGTCTGATACATAAAGACAGATCTATTCAGTCTAAGTCTATGCTTTGTGCTCTTTTCAATGTTTATTTTTTACATGTTTGACCAAAGTAGTCAAGCTATTATTTTTGTCAGTTTCCTCATTATTTATTTTCCATTATTTATTTTTCTCCTTATTACTCTGACTGAACAAATTAAAGTTGTTTTTTCATGTTTGACCAAGCATTTATTCTTCAGCCCAGATTAAATTGATTGTTCAAAGCAAGGCGAGATTTGGCTGAATAGTTACCATGTCAACCTGTGCATCACGTCTACACGCTCTCCACATCAGATGTAGATTTCTTTAGTAGTTTTTTGGGGTGGGGAGGCAAAGTGTTTTGAATTCATGCTTAGAATTAAAACTTTCTTTCAAACAGTTTAGGGTAGGTCTATATGCTGTGCAAGACATGTTCATTTGCACAAAATTCTCAAGTAATGAGACGTCACCAGTTCAGTCCTGCCTGTTTTGACCTTTCAGAATGACTTGTTTCAGAGATGGGGTCATTTGGACCCCTGGGTTTTTACCCTCAGTGCTGTCCTGCAAGGTCACTACACTTTAGTTGCTAGGTGAGGAGCGGCGCCCGCCGACTGTGACCTCAATATCAGGAGATTTTTGAAACTGAAATACTTTAAATTATTTTCGTTAAGCACTTGGACTGTTTCCAGCAGCAGCAGAAACCCAAACTACAAAAACATGCAAAAGGTACATGTGGCAGAATAGGTCACATTAAAAAAAACAAACATTGAAACTGAAAAAAGTTACAAAACTACTTTAGTTTTAATATAAATTAGAACTTTTTGCTTTATTTACTGCATTTTTGAAACTTAAATTGTAAATTTATGTTTGTATTTATTGCTTTTAGACAATTTAGTCGTTTTAATCTCAAACCCTGCAAGCTTACGGTACTACTTACAGCTCCAAATTTAAATTATTTTAATTGCTAACGTTTGCTAACTCTTTAGAGTGTACTTTGAGCTATTTTTAGATTTTGCAGAGTTATTTATGTAATCTGGAAAACGTTTTCTGGTGTAATAATCTGTGTGCTCTTATAACATCATCCACAGTTAAAACTGCTGCAGCTTCATTCAGTCCAAATCCAGACTTAAGCAGCTGTTATTTGATCATTCCTGACCTCTGTGTGTCTCTCAGATCCTTTGGCTGTAAATTGATCATTACCTCCACAAGCAGCACAGGACTGCTCTCAGCGATGAGGTGAGGAAACGTTTGGAAATGAGCCTCCAATTAACCCCCACGGGTAAAACACACAGAAGAGCACGCAACCTCGAAGGAGACGAACACACACAGAGGCAGGAATGTTTTCTTTATCTGATGAGATTCTGCTCAATCCGAGGCCCTAATGAGAACTAAACCGAAGCGGGTGAGACCGCCCGCGCCCCTCCCAGGAGCCGACATCAAACATGTCTGGGACAAACCGAAGACAAGAGAGAGACAATACAGCGAGTCTGAATTTGAATGAGCTGATCAAAAACAAGAGGAAAGGAACAGTGGGAGAAAGTGAATGACGCATCCGAGCATCATGGGCTAATCAGTGGAGCCTGCTTCAGAGCAGCAACAGTTGTCACGGTTTTTTGTTGTTGTTGTTGTGATGAGCTGTCATCTGATATCCGTGGTGTGATTCCCTCCCAGGTCTGCGGCTGGCTGAGCAGCTGAGCCGCAGAGAAGACGAAGCCAAGATCCGCCATCGCCTCGGGCTTTCTCTGTGGGCCAGCGGAAACCTGGAGGAGGCACAGCACCAGGTTTATGAAGTTATTACGTTTCAAGAAATGAGAAGCAGGAATGCCGCTATGTCACTTAGTCCACCGTAACACAATTAATAAACGACAAAGGTGTGTAGAGTAGCCAAAAGGATTAGCACTACTTCGCACGACGGCTAATAAGGGCCACTGAGAAAAAAAAGAGGAGGAAATTTCTGCTGAAGAACCTCTGAAATTTTGGGAATAATCTCAAAAATTGTCTAGATAAAGCATGGAAATATCTGAGTTTGAAAAGTTGAACATCTTTGACTTTTGGGAATTTGCAGAGAAACTCAAAAATGTCCAAGTCTTTTTCAAGAAAATGTTTGCAGGAGCTTAATCTCAAAATTTCTACTTTTTTTTAAAGCATATTTCTGAGTTTTAAGCTCAGAAGTTTTCTCTCTTTTTCAGAGATTTTTTGGTTGAAATTTATTCCATTTATTTCTGTTTACAATTTCCCTAATACACTGGCATAACTTCAACATATTATTTTACACAAACAAGATTATTAAATCTGTATTGTTTACCCTAATTATCTAGGAAAACCTGCTTTATTTCTTTCTTATAACTAGAGCGCAGTTTTTAGTAATGCCTAGATTCAGGTTCAGCCATAAACAGAACCCAGTGTAAGTGCATTTTTCTCTCATACTTTATGAAATATAGCTGGTTTTTTAAGTAACTAATGACCAAAAAATGTGTTGGGAAACTGAAAGATGAAACAGTAACAGTAGAGTGTCAAATACTCATCCAGTACTGATCAGCCGCACAGTTCAGCACTTTTTATTTTGATACTTCTTTTCCTCACTGATTTCTAGTTGCTGCATTAATTGATCATTTCTGAGCTTATGAAGGCTGTGTGCTGGCACCACCCAGTGGTTAGCATTGTAACTGCAGGGATACTGAAGTTTTAACCATTTGACATCAGTAAGTTCTGCTAGAAATATTTTTACAAAAAAAAAGACAATATAATGAAAGTGAAAGGAAAGCATGTGAATTAAGTTCTGAATGTGAAGTTTTCAGTGGAAGGTTTGTTCACGTTGTCTGATTGTTGGATCGTTTTGTTTGGTTCCAGCTGTACAGAGCTTCTGCGTTGTTCGAGACAATCCGCCATGAGACGCAACACAACCTGGATTACAAGCTGTCCTTGTTTGATCTGCAAACCAGCTCGTACCAGGCTCTCCAGAGAGTCCTCGTCAGCCTAGGTGAAATGTTTTACCCCTCTCTGGTTTTTTTTATTATTATTATTATTATTATTATTATTATTATTATTATTTTCAAACATGAAATATAACTTTGCACCAAAGCTTGTTTGATCCACCTTCATACGTTGGTCCGTTTTTCCAGGGCGGCATGACGAGGCTCTGGCCATAGCCGAGCGGGGGCGCACTCGAGCGTTCGCCGATCTGCTGGTGGAACGCCAGAGAGGAAGCAGGCATGCGGCCGGCGCCGACCCTTACATCCCGGTCACGGTGGAGCACATCCTGGAGACGGTCAACGGCCAGAAGGCGCTGATCCTCTACTATTCGCTGGCTGGAGGCTTTCTCTACAGCTGGCTCATATCTCCAGGCACAGGTACGCAGCTGAGTCCACACAGAACCGGCACTACCACATTATCCTGAGTCCATCGAAACGCTGGATCAATGACATGTTGCAAATCTATCTCTTCTTGTAAGATTATGCCGATACGAAGTTGTTAAAACAATAACTTTATTCAGATTCGTGATGTGGTATTTGATCGTATTTTCCACCGAAGAAAGAAAACATCAGGATTTTAATGGCACCAGCAACCCTCCCGACCCCACTGAGGGACAAGGATGTAAAGAAAATGAATGAATGGATGGATGGATGGATGGATGGATCTTTTGTTGATGTTTGTTTATGATTATAAAATCATAGACATTTTTATACAAATATATATCTACTTTTTCAGTCATTACAATAAAATATAAGTTAAAATAACTAATTGAAGATGGAGATGGAAGATAGAAACAAAACAAAGAGCCTTTTTCCACAGAAGGGAAATTCAATAAAACGTTGTTTGCCACGCCCGACTTTCTGATTGGCTGCCGGTCAAATTTATGAAGTTGTTTTGCTCGTCAACTTAGAAATAGAAAAGTTTATGATAAGAATAAGACCAAAGGAAGCGTCCAGCAGCGCTGCTGTGGAGAAATTAAATACAATTTGGTGGGATTAATATAAAAATATGACATACTTTTTGTTTTGGACAAACAAAAAGTTTGTTCTAAAGAAAACATATTGAAACTGAAGAAAAGATTTGAAAGGAAAACTTTTTTTCAGTTTCAAACTTTTTTTTTCTTCTGAACAAACTTAATTTAGCTCCGTAGGATTGTGGTGGAAATGTTTTATCTGGTAATATGTTTAAGATTAAATTAATAAAATCATAACATGTTACCTGATCACCTGCTCCACCACATGTAATAATCTAGTGATCATTGAAAAGTGAGGGAAAAATGTAATGTTTCTTGTCACATTGTGTAGCTTCGTCTGTGGGTTTGCTAAGTGTTTCCCCAGACAGAAGCTGAAGCCGTATGGGGGCCACAGCATGATAAAGGTCGGGGGCCCCTTATCATGCCGAACTCCTTAGCTCTGTTTCACGTCGCTCATGTCAGGTAAACAAACTGCTCAACTTGTCGCGTGTCCTTCCTGAACCCTGCGATAGGCATCGTGAAGTTCAACGAGGCGTACCTGGGAGAGGCGGGGCCCGAGGCCTCTGAGTTCCAGGACGGCGGCGGGAGCCCGCACGGTGGAGGCCCCGTGTCTCTGGATCAGTACATCTGCAACGCCAGAGAGGCTCTGGGAGTGGACAGCCATCACAGCAGGTAGAGGCTGACGCAGAGACAGATCAATCAGAAATCAGAACTTTAGCTCCAGAAAGAGGTTCCTGTGAAAATGGATTCAGATGATTTGACTTCCTGCCCAGGGCGGCATGACCTCAGGGGTGAGGGAGGAGGGAGAGTAAGACTGTACTCAAAAGTAGAACTACTTCAACATATTTTTACTCAAGTAAAAGTAAAAAGTATTCATTCAAGAAATGACTCAAGAAAGAGTAAAAAAAGTATTTTGTAAAAACTTTTCTCAAGTTCTAAGCAACTGATCAAATTATCAATCATTTAATATTTAAAAATGAGATCATCAGACGGACAAAAATGTAAAGTTAAGTGGAAAGTTTTGTATTTTAAGGACCAAAATTACAATAATTCATATAAGCAACAAAAGAAAAGAAAAAAAAAATTCCTAATCAGTTTCTTTTGATAAAAAAAAAACAAACTTATGAAACTTTAACAAAAACTGCAGGTGTGTGTCTAAGTCTGGTGAGTTTTGGTTAAAACATGTGGGCAGAAAATTCAGAAATTTTACTCAAGTAAGATCAGAGATACTTCATAATAAAGTTACTGAAGTAAAGGAAGTACAATAAGTACTCCTAAAAGTATTTTTTTTCCAATAAGTTCCTCAAGTAAATGTAACTGAGTAAATATAACTAGTTACTTCCCAACTAAGCTGTGTATCAATTAATTATGTTTATCCAGTGGGGAGTGGGCGCCCCCTAGTGTCGGGCACAGTGTTGGCAAGTATTGCTGTACTTTTGCCAAATTGAGCACAAGTGAGATTTCTGTTGCATCTGCAGCTCAGAGATTTCAAAATTCACTTCAGATGTGATGAGAAAGAAAAGAGCTTCCAAAAAGGCAGTAGTCAACCCGACTGCGTACCACTGAACATGAATCTGTGTTTTCAGAGTGTGCTCCGGCAGTGAGACGGAGAGTGAAGCTGGAGATCTGCTGGAGCAACAGTTTGAGGAGCTAAACAACAATCTGGCCTCGGCCGCCGATCCAACCGGCTACCTCCGCATGGTGTCCAGAAATAACCGCTTCAACAGGTTCCACTGCAGCTTTCAATAACGCTCTTTCACTCGCATGCAGTGACTACAGCAAAAATACATTTAGGTGTTTTGTGTATATAAAATCCTCTGGTGTTTCAGTCAGATTCTTTTTTTCTGGTATTAAAATTTGTAACACTACTACTTTATTTTTTCTCATTGTGTATTTGCAATAAAAACCTTTCAATATTAAACACTAAAATTTGTAGCACAATTTGAATTATTTGTAACAACAACAAAAAATCTTCTTTAAGAGAAATCTTTTTATTTATTTATTTATTTTTATATCCAAACTGGTCCTGGGTAATAACTTGTACTTTTTGTTGTTGTTGAGTACACCATGCTTGGAAACCTTTCAGTATGTTATCTTTAGAAGTTCACTGATTTCAGTTTTCTGGCCGATCCTTCAAAAACCTGACCTGCTGATTGCAAGTTTGGTCAATACAGATTTTTTGTTTTGTCTTAAAAGTTGCTAAATATAGCGACAAAGTTGCTAAGTTGGCAACAGTAGGGTGACTGTTGTGGATAAGGTCTGTTTCATCACCCAAAGTGAAGGAAATCTGGGCCGATTTATCCCTTGTTATTTTCCTTATAAGGAAAATGAAGTATATACTCCAGTACAGGAAGCTGCTGGGTGTAATTCCTGAGCAAACCTTCATAGACCCATCAGTCTGAACACTAACTCTCAATGAAAGCGTATTTGTAATCCTGTTAAGTCCATATATTCCGTGTTTTATGTAAATGTCCCCCAGCAGGAGCTGTCGGAGCATGACGAGCCTTTACAGCGCCACCGTGTCTCCAGTGAAGGACGGCTTATCTCCTGTTTGCCGACCGTCTAATGTTGGCAAACCTCCTCTACGAGCCCTCTACGACTTACTCATCGCTCCCATGGAAGGGGTGTGTGTGTGCGCGCGTGTGTGTGTTTGTGACACGGCTCCTTTTCTGTCATTCTTTCATTTGAATGTTGAGCTTTCATGTTTTGTTTTTTATTTTTTTATATCTTTAATGTTTCTGCTGCAGGGTCTGATGCACAGCAGTGGATCTGTTGGCAGGAACAGGCAGCTTGTGGTAGTTCTGGAGGGAGAACTGTACCTGATCCCCTTTGCCTTGCTGAAAGGCAGCTCCTCCAATGAGTACCTGTATGAAAGGTTTAACATCATTTCTGTACCGTCCCTGGCCAGCCTGCAGGCTACAAGCAAGGTAGGCCCTTCATCCTGAGGAGGGCAGTAGAGTGCACAACTCCAATGTAAAAGAAAAAACTGAAAAATGGGGAAAATGGGTGGTCAGTTTTGAAGAACTACAAGAAATGGGAATAACCAGCACTCCGAAAACACACAGGAAGGTTTTAAAATGGTGAATAATGACTTGATCTGCAGCCGAACCGCATTCTTTTATCGGCCACATTAAAACTTTTGTACACATTTTTGGAATCTTTATCGTTCCCTTTTGTTTTTTAGGCAATTCATCTAATGACGTCATCTTTTGTAAAATATAAAATAAAATAAAAATCTGTAAGCGTAATTGCTTGTGTGTTCTCCCTACAGCCTCACCCTCGCCCCAGCGGTCCCCTGCTGTGTCCGGACGGAGGCTCGGTGGCTGCCGTGGTTGGGGCCCCTCAGCTGCCTCCCAGCGTCATGGACCGCTGGCTGTGGGGGCCCTTACCCTCGGCCCAGGACGAGGCTCTGTCTTTGGGTGAGCAGCTGGGGTGTCACCCCCTTACCGGGGCAAACGCCACCAAGGAGCGCGTCTTAGCGGCGCTGAGTCAGGCCGAGTGCGTTCACTTTGCGACCCACACGTCCTGGAAGCTCGCCGCCATCGTGCTGTCCCCCAACCACGAGCGCAGTGCCGGGGACGGGCCGCAGGAGAACGCTCTGAGCGGGACGGCGGCGTTAGCGGACGGCGCGGACCATGACGGGAAGGTCGACCGTTTGTTTCCCAGGAGTCACAGCAGCCCAGAGAGACTCCGAGGAGCGGAAGAAAGAAGCGAGGACGTGGAGAGCGTGTGCGACGGCGCGCCGCTCCACGACTTCCTCCTCACTGCCGCCGACATCCTGGACCTGTGCCTCTCGGTCAAGCTGGTGGTTCTGAGGTATTTATGTTTGATAGTAACTAGTTACATTTTCTCAATTACATTTACTTGAGTAACTTTTTGGAAAAAAATTACTTTTAGGAGTATGTTTATGTTCTAGTTAAGTAATTTTATTATGAAGCATTTTTACTCTTACTTGATTTTTGGGTCAAACTACCCACCCCTGCAGATGCAGATGACGTCTGACTCGTTTGTTGTTTCAGGTCATACCCGGAGTCTAGCTGCAGAGTGACGGCCGACGGAGTGGTGGGTCTGACCCGGGCTTTCTTGGCTGCGGGCGTTCAGTGTGTGTGCGTGTCTCTGTGGCCGGTGCAGGTCGCTGCTTCCAAGCTCTTCATGCACACGTTCTACACGGCGCTGCTAAACGGCAGCAAAGCCAGCGTGGCTCTGACGGAGGCCATGAGGAACCTGCAGAGCAGCAAGCACTTCTCACACCCTTCCAACTGGGCTGGTGAGCTAAAAGAATAAAACATCCACAGATTCCTGATGGAATATTAAAGCTATCTCAAGTCAGCCTCTGTTCTGTGTGCGGACAGCAGTTTTCTTCCAAGCTAGCTTTGTATTAGCCGTGCAAATGTAAATTTGTTCAGTTTGTGAGGGTGAACTGAGGTCCTCCTGGAGACACAGTTACATAAAGGGCGCCATTTTTTAAAGTTACAGTCAAAATTGAGCATCAGTAACTTGAGTTATTTAGTCATAAGAGGGAAAAAAATGGGAGTTCATGTTTCAAAGTCATATTTTCACCATGTTATTTGTTCAGTTATGCATGTTACAGTTTCACACTCAATATCAGCTTAATATTTAACTTTAAACTAAATTTTTAGTTTGTATCTACAGCAACAGTGACTGAATGGTTCTCAAGACTCAGCTTTTGTATGACTGCACACAAGTTACATAGTTAGCTAAATACTGATAATATTTATTGTGTATAAATATTATTTATACTGTGCTAAATATTTATTCTAGAGCTAAATATTTAGCTTCAAAATAAATATTTTGCTCTCTAAATATATATTTGAGATATTTATTATTTTTAATGTTATTTTGACAAAAGACTAAATAGTCAGTTTCAAATGAAATACTTAACTTGCTACATATTTAATTTGAACCACCAAGTAAAATCTTTAGCTTGCAACAAAAATATTTATTGTTTTTAATGTTATTAAGACTAAATATTTATCTTCAAACTAACTATTTAGCTTCCAATGAGACATTTAGTTTGCTAACTAAATATTCAATTTGGAGCTAAATATTTAGTCTACATTACATTGTGAAAACAATACATGTTTATGTAGTTGAGCTCATATATGTAGTTATTTAATAATTTTATAATTGAAAATGTTGCTTATTTTGTCGATGTATAGTTTTTATTAATTAATTAATTACAGACCAACTCAGTTAACTCAATTACAAACTTTAATGTTGTTCATGTTGTAGTTCACTTTCAAAGCCCTGATTAACATTGACATCATCACAAAATGCTATACACACTTGAGACTGGAACCTTTAATTATGTTAGTATTATGCACACTTATGTCTAACTATCAGCATTTAATTTAGTATCAGTTCGACAGCCAAAATACAACTATTCATATATATATTTGTATTTAGAGACAGCAAGTAATTACCATGGAGCGTTAGGAGTTTAATGAACTACGTGTGTGGAGGTTGAAAGATGTTTTTGAAGCTGACCTGGACTGTTCCTCTCTAATGTGCAGATTGTAGTTTTGTAATGTTTCTGTCAGAAATGCGTTTGTGTCCCTTGGATCCTGAAGGCAGACGTCGTTTTGTTTCTGCTGTTCCAAACTAACTCTTAGTGATTTATCTGTGCCGCCCTGCTGTGCGTCTTCCTCCAGGTTACCTGCTGATAGGCAGCGATTTGAAGCTGAACAGCCCCATGTCGCTGGTGGGTCAGGCCCTGGCAGAGATCCTGCAGTACCCAGAGAAAGCCCGGGACGCCCTCAGGGTGCTGCTGCACCTGGTGAGCTGCCATGATATAAAGAACTGATGTATATTTTTATCTTTCTGGTTTTGTTTTTGTTGTTTTCTTGTCAAAGCAGTAGAGAAATATATGTATAATGTCAGTATCAATTTAATGAATTTCTTAAAAAGAATGACAGCATTTTAAACTTTTTTGCTTGTTTTTTAAAACATTTTGCAGCTCTACACAGGTCTAATTTAGCCGATCTTAAGGCAGACATTGTTGTTTTGTTATTTCTCTTCTCAGGTAGAAAAGTCGCTGCAGCGCATTCAGAGCGGTCACTGCAACCCCATGTACACGTCGCAGCAGAGCGTGGAGAACAAGGTGTGTGTGTGTGTGTGTGTGTGTGTGTGAGAGTGTGTGTGTGTGTGTGTGTGAGAGGCTGTGCTCCCGCTCTGCCGCTCCTCCCCTCATGTCTCCCTCTCCCCCCGTTAAGGTCGGCGGCGTTCCTGGCTGGCAGGCCCTCCTGTCTGCTGTGGGCTTTCGGCTGGAGGTCTCTGGCTGTGGTGGCGGACTCCCTGCGGCCGTGTTCTTCCCGACCTCTGACCCTGGAGACCGTCTGCAGCAGTGCAGCAACACGCTGCAGGCTCTGCTCGGTAACACAGCTGTTGGCAATATTCCACTTGTACCAAGAGATTTTTAATGTTATAATTAATTCATCTTCCAGTGGAATTTGAACTTTTTCATGAATATTGAGGAATTATTGAATTAGAATAAGCCTCTATCTTTTGCTAAAAAGTTACTTTTAAGTTAGTTTATCTTATTTCAAGTGTAGTGAGAAATTTGCTCTAGAAACTAGACCAAAATTATTTGGTAAGATTTTGTTTATTTGGGGAATACCTACTTAACCCCCATTAGCTGAGTATGAAATATTTTAATTAAATAAATAAAGTTCTGTGTAAATTGTTGTATATGAGAAACTTAAAAAGGGTTTTGCATGTTTGCATTAATAAAAGAAAGGCATCACTTGAAAAATATACCAAAACAAAGCATTTAGTCTGTTTTCAGCAATCAGACCAGGACTTGTGTCAATGTTTTTATAAAAGCTTGTTGTGTGAATTTATTCATTCATTAAAAGCAGATCTGAGAGCAGCAGAACTGGCTTCTCAGTAAAAGTCCCTGTATACTTGGGGTTTTATTTACTGTGAAAAAAAAGGAAGTGAAATGCTTGATTGTTTCTAATTTATCAGGAATATTTTTACCCTCATTAAGAATAAAAAAAATCTCCATCTGCGTCAACTGACTATGGATTAGGTGAGACAGATCTGTGCCATTTTTGAATTGCAGTCATTTGACACTCCTGGCCTAAAACCTTGGAAAGATTTATGTTTGATGTATTTGATGTTTTAAAAATAACTGGTTGTGGACTGTTTATGTTCAGATCAAAAAGCAAAAAGGTTCCAGAAACGATGTAGATTTTAAGTCGGTATTAAATCTACAGTGTTCCTGTTGAAGCTCTACTAAAGCTCATATGTTCCCCTGCAGGTCTGACTCCTGCGGCTCTGCAGGCTCTGTGTAAGCTGGTCACAACATCTGAAGCAGGAGAGCAGCTCATTCACAAGGTACAGCAGCAGCTCACACGTCTTCACGTGGCGTCTGAAGGAAAAATGCATAAACTGATTTTTAATAGTTTTTAAAATAAAATAAAATAAATAAAATAAAAAATAAAAATCTGTTTTCCAAGCTGGAAAATCCAACAACATTGTGTTGATGAAAGTTCTGAAAGGAAATCTGTTCTACTACATTTCCCTGTCCTGGCGGTTTTAAAAGGCTCTTGGTATTGATTATTAAGAGAATTTGTGGATTTGAAACACAATTGAGCAATATATCAAATCTGTATTTCAGTTTAGATTCCAAACAAATAAAAAAAAAAAATATGTACTCATCAAATTCAACAAAAAAAAATCATAATTACTTCAGAACACTTCTTTCTGTATGACTCTGTCTGAAACCCAATGCTAAGTGCAAAAAAATTCTCCATCTCTGCATATATTTTTGCTGTTGTTTTAACATGTTGAATATTTGCATAACTTTGACTATGTTGATGCATGTTGTAGAATTTCATTGGCCGGGTGTCCCTTCAGCATTTCCATGTTCCATTGACTCCAATTCAAAATGGATTTTAAATTTAAATTCACTACTCAGCAGCGCTCCTGACAGGGGGGGTTCAGGGGGGGCGTAGTCCTCCCTGAAAAATGCTGATCTTGCCACTGACCACATAGAAAATCATGTTAACTTCAAATAAACGCATACAGTCGTCTTCTTCTTCAAGCTAAAATAAATAATAAAAAATATGTGTATTTTAGCTGTGCCACCCCAACATTTTTACCCCATGAATATTTTCTTGCGGCGCCATTGTCACATCCACTTGGAATTTGATTTCTATTCTCTTTTTTTTTGTTTCATCTTTAATGTTATTTAAAATTTTCAAATCTTGTTGCTGGTAGCTAAAAATTGTATGACTAGCGTCTTCATGGACCAGACAGCCAGTGTTCATGGACATGCAGACATATGTCCATGAACACTGGCCATAATGTCATAAAACAAACCAGTTATTGCATAATTAGGTATCTATTCTTCTTCTTGAAAACTTCTAACCATATTTGCAAGAACACATCATGTCTGAGCTGAAGCCACAGCACACAGACAGGAACGAGTTCAACATTCCCATTAGTTGATTGGATATCTAAGCTAAGCGGTTGCCATGTGAAATTATTACCTCTCAGCCCTGATCCTGACATCCCAGTGAGCCTTTTCTATCCGGACATGTTCATCTCATATTTCCACATTTTTACCAGCTGTCAAACACATCGGTCATACAGTTAAGGGAGGACACTGTCAGGCATCACTCTTTGCTTGTACGTCATCCTGACATTCCTACCAAACCGCATCCTAGTTATCATTCATTGATACCATAAATGAATACATACGTGACAGAGTGTGGAACATAAAACGCTGAAGTTCTGTATCCTCTTCTCTTACACTTGCGTCTCAAAGGCCGTGAAAAGCATGGTGGTGACGGTAAGTGTACTTGGTGTGATTTAGAGTGAGATGTTTTATTTTATCCTATTGACTCTATGTATGCTTCCAAATATAAATATGTCAGAGGTAGGAAAGGCATTCAGGGAATGTGGTGGGGAAAAAAACCCAAACAATCAATCAGTCCATGCTTTCTGTTACATCTCACTTCCTGTCTGAAGCTTCATCAGGTCCTGGTGCAGCTGCAGTCCGTCGACAAAGACCAAGACTTCCCCCTGGCTCCCATCCAGGTGTCGATCAGCGTTCAGCTCTGGAGGCTGCCTGGCTGCCATGAGTTCCTGGCTGCTCTGGGTGAGCTGGCATTCTTTCTCTCCTTTACTCACATCTCCTTATTTCCTTTTAAACCTTTTCCCCAACTTTCTCCCTTTCCTTTCCATCTCCATACCCATAAAATTTTAAATAAACCCAAAGCGATTTCTAATAAAGCCATGGCGAAACTTGTAATATGCTACCAGAGAAAGTAAATCTGTAGGGCCTCGCCTTGCCACTGCTGTTTGTAAAAACAAGCAAAAAGTTTAATTTATGAATTTCTGCTAAGCTTATTAGCTGACTCTGATATCGAGAAGCGTCTCGTGTTTGCAGGTTTTGATCTGTGCGAGGTCGGTCAGGAGGAAGTCGTGTTGAAGACGGGAAAACAGGCCAGCAGACGTAACATGCATTTCGCCCTTCAGGCCCTTCTTGCCCTGTTTGGTGAGAATAATAATTGTTTTTGTTTCTAAATCAAATTATTTTTAACTTTTTCACATTACACTTCTCTATTAATTGTCTTCCTTTTCTTATTAAGACTCCACAGAGCTTCCCAAGCGACTCAGCATGGACAGTTCGTCGTCTTTAGAGTCTCTGTCGTCCTCCCAGTCGGCCTCCCAGCCTCAGTCTTTGCCCCTCTCTCTCAGCTGTTACCCTCCCCAGCCCTTCTTACCTCCCGGTTGCTCCGACAACCTCTCCTGCGACGCCATCTCCGTCTACAGCCTCAGCTCCCTCGCCTCCTCCCTCAGCTTCCTGTCTCGGCCCGAGCCGGCGGGAAGTGACATCATCAGTCATCGCTCGCATCAACAGGAGCCAGAGAAGCAGGGTGGAGGAACGGGTCTGTACTACTCCTCGCAACGCCTGGCAAGAGGCCGGCTGGCCAATCACGGAGGAGCGTCGGCAGGAGGAGAGGACGAGGAGTACGAGGGCTTCTCCATTATAAGCAGCGAGCCGCTGGGGCGGGCGGGGAGGGAGTGCGACACGCTGCCGCTCCCTGCGGGACACCGGCAGGGCAGAGGTGGTTCCAGCAGAGGGTCTGCGGTGGGCCAGACTCTGATAGTTTCTTCCAAGGGGAGCATCAGCACGCCGACGTCCCCACTCAAAGCTCCACCACTGGCACTGCCGGACCATCCAAGCTCCAAGGTCACCCAAAAAATGTAAGTTTAGGATTAATTCAGTCAAAAACGCTAATTTAGGGTTATTTATTTTACAAACTTACCCCTGACTTTAAAACCTAGTCGTTCCAACCTTTGTATCAACAACTTCCTTCAAGTGTTTGCAGTGAATGCCAATGAGTCTTCTATGTCACTGTGGAGGAATTTTGGTCCTTGTTCTTTGAGTTTCGATTTAGCATGAGGAGCTGCCCTGGTGGAGAAGAAACTGGACTTGGTGACCAAGTAGCTTGTCACACTTGCTAGTATTTATTTGGATTGTGGGAAATGAAGTAATTTGTCATAAGAGATGAATGCAAGTGGTACGCTCGACTATGAAAACTCACGTATGCACAGCTCACAGAATACACACAATACACCCGAGCACTTGGTTTATCGAAGACGGGTTACTGTCAGTGCAAAGTGCACTCTAAGACTTAAAAGAGCATGTGCAATTTGGCCACTTGCTAAAATAACAGCGCCATCTAGTGGGTTGGCATAACAACTTGGTGGTCTTGTCAAATCTTAAAATTTTCTCTGACCATCATCTGAAAATACCTGCAGTTATCAGACAGTGGTCTTATGTAAACATAGCCTTAGTATTCATTTTCACAAAGTCAGTTTTGAGTGAAACTGTAACATTTTTGTTAGAGTTTCAACTGTAACAAAAATATTACAGTTGAAACTGTAACAGGGATTGGAGTCTCATATTTTGAAAGTGCAAGATGAGGTCGAGGTTAAGGGTCAAAGCTAATGCATCTCAAAGACAGAAATCAAATCACCATGTAGTGCCTCAGCATGACAACTACAGCAGATTCAAGGTTTCTTGGTGATCTTGTGTAAATGGTGATGCAGTGTCATCTACACATGGAGACTTTCCCCAAAAATACAGTCAGTTTCCCTGTGTAAACTTTAGTTTTCTGGTGTACTTCAGATTATTGGGATACCATACCATACCAACTTTATTTATAACGCACTTTTAAACAACCACAGCTGATACAAAGTGCTGTACATTAAAACACAAAATAACAATGAAAAAAAAACAAAAACAAAAAAACTCTTAGTTTAAAAACAAACAAATATACAATTTAAAACTGGATCCCACTGGAGTTGTAAGCCAAATAAAATAGATGGGTTTTAAGATGAGCTTTAAAATGGGTACAGTAAGTGCAACTGAACCATGAAAACGTGGTTGATCCTGTTTAGTTTATGACTTAATTGCAGGAAATTATATTTTCACAGTTCCAGGCTGGTTGGGTGTCCAAATATGCTAAAGACAGTTTCCTTTCTCTCCTGTAGCTCATTACCCACACGGACAGTTAAAGGGAAGGTTAGCAGCTCCGAGTCGGACCAGTCGAGCACCGAAACGGACAGCACCGTCAAATCCCAAGAAGAGAGGATGGGCCCTGCCGGACAACTGGATCCCCACGAATTGGCCCAGAAGATCCTGGAGGAGACCCACAGCCACATGCAAGCTGTGGAGACGCTGCAGAAAGCAAACATCAGAGTGACATCTCTGAGAGGAGCCGGGGGCCGAGAAGACACTCATACCAGGCAACCGTCTCTGTCTACCCCCACGACCCCGACCTTTAAACCCGCCAGAGGGGCGCGTGAGTTCCAGGCGTCCGAGACCAGTGCGTTCAGCAGACCTCCCAGCAGGGCTAGTCTGAAGGCCGGCTCGTCCCCTTTTACCGTCCATAAGCACCTTTCACCCCATGCCTCTGATTCGAGGCCTCCCCCAACTCCTCCCAAACCGCCGTCCCGCTCGTCATCGCTGCAGAAAATCAACACGTCTGCCTCTTCTTCTCCTTCTTCATCTCTCCCCGCTAAGGAGAGGAAGTCCCCCATCATCTCAGACGAGCCGGCCCAACACAAACCCAAATACTCCGGCTCGCCTTATAGCTGCCACGTATCGCCGTCTCGCTCTCCTGCCGACAGCGCCTCGTCTCCAGCCCTCTCCTACTCCTCCAGAGGCTCCGTCTCGGTGGCGTCCAGCCCGACGGACCCTTCGGAGCTCAGCCAGTCAAAGCAGGACAACAAGGTCCAGGCGATGCACAACCTGAAGACCTTCTGGGCCGGCGTCGGCCAGAAACAGGAGGCGCCCGGCCGTTTGGCATCGCTCCGAGGCGGCGGCAAAAAAATGAGTACGGTTCAGAAAGACGTTTTGGGTTTGCTGAACCTCTCGCCCAGACACGGGTCTGGCAGGAAACACGCGGACAGACATGAAGACCACGACAGACCCAACGGGCACCGCAAGCTGGAGCCCAAACCTCCACTTGCTCCATCTGCTGGTCTTCCAACAAACCACAAAGGAGGCATCAAACTTCCCTCTGGGAACGGATACAAGTTTCTTTCACCTGGACAGTTTTTTCCATCTTCTAAATGTTAAAGGTTTGGATATTTACCCCAATGAATTCTCAGGCAGCAGACTCATCTGAGGGTTCACTTTCTACGTAGACTGACAGAAACTGTCCTTTTTTTTCAATAAAGTACAGTTTTACTACTAGTCCCTGCTGAAGGTGGGACCTAAAATGGACCATTTCACACTGGTCTCTTTGATTTTACGTGTGTGGGTGGGTGTGTGTATGTAGGATGTACAGTGCCTTGCAAATTAAGACTTTTGTGAATATTTTCACATTTTGTCATGTTAGGACCACAAACTGCATTTTATTTGCATTTTGTGTAAAAGACAAAGTAATGCATAATTGTTAGACGGAAGAAAATTTATAATTTTCAAAACTTTTCCCCAATAAATTTCACAAATTTCACATTTCAGCCCCCTGAGTCAGCTCTGTAGTCTTTTGGTGGTACTTTTAAGAAAAAAATGTTTTTGCACATCTAAACTATCTAACTGGGATTTTAACATTCTTAATTTTAATTTGGGTCTGGACTTCGACTAGGACATTCTAACATATTAATAGGCTTTGATCTTAACCATTTGACTGCAGCTTCAGTTGTATTTTTTGAGTTGTTGTCCCGCTGGGGGGTAAACCTCTTCTAGTCTCAAGGTTTTTCAGCCTCTAACATGTTTTAAGTCAGGATTTTTATCCTTTTTCCCATCAACATTGACTCATTTCTCTGACCACGCTGCAGAAAAAGAAACCCCCATACCATGATGCAGTCACCACCGTGCTGTAAACATATTCATCCATCATCTGTAGATGATGGACCTATACAGGGGCTGGTTAAGACACTGGACAACATAAAGTCACCGTCGCCACGGTCACCACACTAACTTCATGCAGATATAGTATAATAGCATATAAGCAATAAAATATAATTATAAAACACATTTGAGATATGTGACCACTGTTGTCTTCCTAAAATCTAACAATCCAATAAGAAATACAGTCCTGTGTACGTGTTACTTACTACATTATTACTGTTAGTTACTACATTATTACTGTTAGTTACTACATTATTACTGTTAGTTACTACAGCTTCAAGTTATTTTTGAATGCTATGCTAAAAATGTATCAACATTGCAATATTGGCAAGATATTACAAAATTCACTAAAAATTTTCTTAAATTATTGACAATTAATCACACTGTTGACATTATTGTTTTTACTTAAAGTTGCAAAAACTTTACTTCATTTTACATTGTTATCTGTTATTGCATTATTAGCTGCTACATTGTTTTATTATTGTTACTTGTGGCTGCTGTCCTTTTTAACAGGCTTTCTATGTGACTGTGCCAAACTTGAAATGGGGTATTGGTGGGTTTTTTATTATTATTATTATTATTCAATCCTGCATTAATTCACTCCACCTTTACTTTGGTTTGGTCTATCTTTTAAAATCCTACAAAAATCCATTGAAGTCTGTGGTTGTAAAGTGACAAAATGTGAAAACGTTCAAGCGAGACGACTGCCATTGCAAAGCATGGTGAGCGGTGTGGATGTGGTGACTGACTGTGCCTTCTCACACAGAAAAGTGTTTGAGTGTTTTCATGTCTGACTGCAGAGCACGTGTTTTGACGTACACTGAAATGTCCCGACTTTTTTTTTTTTTTTATGTTTAAAACGCTCGCTATTTGTGTAAGTTTACCCGAGTATGATCCTAAGTTAATATGTAATAATTATTTTTATTTGCTATGGTTATCCTTTTATTTAGCTGTTTTCCACTCGATGCTACACATTTTATAAAGACAATTACAACACAAAGAAGAAAAAAAACCTGATATTTTTATGGAAGTTAATTTTCATTTGCATATGTCAAATTCTTGTCGTCGGGTTTTAATAAATTTGTATTAATGTTCAACTTTTTCAGCAGTGGTCAGAGAGATCCATTCCGAAAACGGTGTCATAATTTTCTTCCTTGTAGAAATCGAAGTCTGGAAGAAGAGAAGAGTCACAGAAGACTTCAGTGTGACGTTTCCGCTGTTGGTGATGATTTGGGTTGTCACCTCATCTGCACTGTTGGTCAAATTTTAGTTTCCTAAAGTCCCCAGTCAACACAACCGTCTAGCAGGAAATGACGATATGTTGAATTTTATTCAAAAATACTGAATACCTAACTCAATGTGAGGGATAGCAGTTTCTTCCAATCACCTTTAGTACTAAAGGGGTGAATAGACTTAATAGAGCTGTTGTATGGCAAGCTGTTTAGTAATTAATGATTAGACAAGCTCTTCAAAGCAGATAAAAATAAAATTCTTTGTGTCAAAGTGAGCATTTTACCTCTGCAGAATGCAGTTCTAAAGTCCACACCGTGTGTGTGTGTGTGTGTGTGTGTGTGTGTGTGTGTGTGTGTGTGTGTGTGTGTGTGTATATAAAAAATAAAAAAAAAATTCCCTTCTCACCCTCCGCGGGTGGTCTTTTTCATCCTCTGAGCTCGGGTCCTCTACCAGAGCCCTGGGAGCTTGAGGGTTCTCAAGCAGTCCAGAACTGCACATTTCTGGACTGAGATGTCTGATGTTGTTCCTGGGATCTGTTTGAGCCACTGCTCCAGTTTGGGGTGACTGCCCCGAGGGCCCCGATGACCACAGGCACCACTGTGGTCTTCACCTTCCAGGCCTTCTCCAGTTCCTCTCTGAGGCCCTGGTATTTCTCCAGTTTCTCGTGCTCCTTTTTCCTGATGTTGTGGTCACTTGGTATTGCTACATCCACCACAGCGGCTTTCCTCTGTTCTTTATCCACCACCACAATGTCCGGTTGGTTCGCCATTACCATCTTGTCTGTCTGGATCTGGAAGTACCACAGGGTCTTAGCTCGGTCATTCTCCACCACCTTTGGGGGTGTCCCCCACTTTGACCTCGGGGCTTCCAGTAAATATTCGGCACAGATGTTCCTGTACACTATGCGCATATATATATATATATATATAGCTGCACAGAACCCTCAAGCTCCCAGACCTCTGGTAGAGGACCCGAGCTCAGAGGATGAGAGAGACCACCCGCGGAGGGTGAGAAGGGAGTTTTGTGTCATCAGTTCATCTCTTCTGGAGAAATATGGTAGTGATTAGTCATAGCTATTGCCTATATTTTAGACATTAGGAAGATACTGCCTTATTGAGCAGTGAAATCTCAGACCTTTGAGCATTGACATTAGCTTCACATTTCTATTTTACATATTTGAAATAAAATTTATGTGTAACAAGTACATAGTAGATCTCAGAAAGGGAGTTGCAACTGGATAAAATTCATTTTCATGTACCTACAATTTACATATATTTTCAAATAGAATTTGTATTTTGACTATTGTAAAATACAAAATGTAATTGTAATGTGTGGAGATAAATTTTGATGATGGAATAGATTCCCATAATCTTCATCATAGAGAGAATGAATGTAGGCGGCAAACCCAAGACTGCAGACAAATATACTTAAATGACAAAAGCAATTATATTTATTCTATTCAGATGACAGTTTAGACACTTGAAATGATACAAAACAGCAAACATTTTTCATTTTGATTTATAGGACGTACACTAATAATGTCTGATCTTATATCCAAACCTAACAATTAAATATTGAAACAACTTCAAATTTACATGGACTTTAAGATATTTGAAACTTTCTTTCTGGTGCATTTCGATTTAAAGTTTTAGATTCATGTTTAATTTTCAAGTAAAATAACTCTAGTTTACTTTCAATTAAGATTTTTTACATAAGATTAATTTTATAAATCTCATCTTTATGATCAGATGAGTGGTTTGATTATATACCACAACGATCTGCCACAGTAAGAAGTTATCGTCTACTGCGCAGCCGCAGCCCAGGTGACGAAGATGGTGCTCATCAAGGAATAGTGAGTCTGAAGTGTTTTTAAAAAGATATATTTTACCATCTTTAAGCCGGATATTTCCATTTTTGTACTGACATATTAGCATGAACTAAAGACCTGTGAGTCGTTTAAAGCCGTCGTTGTCGGTATTTAAGGGCACGTTAGCGTGAAAAGGCAGCTTTGAGCAGGGTGGATCAGGACGTGGATAACGGGACACACCGGTCTTTTTTAGGCGTTGCTAGTGCAAGCTAGCGTTAGCCTTCAAGTTGTACCAGCGGAGGGAATAATTAGCTCCTTAATGGAAACGGCTTGCGCTAAAAGGCTGCCCTGGTTACCCACAACCACGCTACACGTTTAGTTAGATAACAACACCAAAATAATAACACAAACTTAATTACGCAGGGTCCAGTGCTGGGAGCTTGTAGCCTGTTAGCAACGAGCCTTATGTTTAAATTGCCGTAATGTTAAGCTGTGGTCTCGTGAGTGACAGATTAAGGCTGCTTCTCTGACGGATTTACCAGAAATGCTAGGTGGCACCGTTAGCTGCAGCAGCCGGGCTAGCTGCTAGCATGACAATTCCCTACACGCCTAACAGCTGAATTAAAGCTTAATGTCAAGGCGGAACTTCAACAAAAACGTTGTCGGGTCATTTAGCCTCGCTCATACTGTATTTGCGCCCTTTCAGTTAGCTTTAGGGTTACTTTGCTGTTACTTTAACAGGCGTTAGCAGAGAGTTAGCCTTATGTCATGGGCGGCTAGGTTAACATGGTTAGGATTTTAAGTGTACTGTAAAGACCCTCGGACTGTTATATATTACTGCATCCTACTTAGTCATTCTCCTGTTTTTTCGCAGTTTAATAAATTTTAGGCCTAAGCTTTACTTTGTGGCTAGCCCATACCTGCTATATACCTGTTGTTTTGAGCACAAACCAGATTTTGTCTGAACTCGTTGAGACTTCTCATCCAGATTCTCTGAATGTAAATCTTAAACAATGGAGGTATGGAGAAAAGGTCAGTCATCACCACTAATCTAGATGCTAAACACTGGAACGTACTGTAATAGTAAGTCAGACAGGCTTGACACAATGGCACTTGTTTTATTCTGTGACTGTAAATGTGTGTGCTTTAAGCTATCCCTTCCCCTCCCCTCAGTTTATTCAATAGCACAGTTTGCCAGTAACTTTTAAAAATGTGCTGGTTGCAGTTGGGAATGGGGCCAGTAAGAAGTAACAGTATTTACTCAAAAATTAGACATAAAAATGCATAACAGTAACTTTTTTATACAACAGAAAAGCAACACATATTTAAATGACACCATGTTGAATATTACAGTTAAAGCCAGTTGTCTTCCTGTCTTAAGCTGTGATTGTTTTCATAGTTATGTTACACATCTGCTGTGAGAGCTGTCATTTCCAATGGTCAGTGAAGGTTTTACTCTCTGCAATAAAAAGACATCAGAACATAAAATATTTATTTGTAGTTATGTTATCTATCCACTTCCAAGTTTCCCATTCATGCATGGTCTCCTTACCTTGCACTCATGTTCATCTGCATAATTTAATCAAAAGTACAAACCACTCTAATGTTATGATCTCCCCCCGAATGCATCAGTGAAACGAAAAACAACTAAAAGTCACGAAGGACTGATTAGAAAATACATTTGGGGAAAAAAAAAAAATCTTATTTCAGAATTTCACATATGGGAAAACTGAGAAAAATCTTTCATATGAAAACTAAAATGAACTTTTGGTTAAAAAAAAACTTAATTCTGCCCAATATCTTTCCTCTAAATGTAACGTCTGTCAGAGCAAACACACATTCTGCTTCAGATGTTTTTTAAAGCATATTTATCAATGAAACCACAGGCAGATGCGAGGCGTGATCAATAGTTGATTTTCACAAGAGAGTTAAAAATTATTTTTGCCCTGTAGTGATTATATTTAAAGACGCATTGTTTACGCTAACATCAAAGCGGTTATAGTGTGTAGCTTTGCTACTATCTGCAGTGAAGATATGCAACTACAGCTAGTTCTTTATCAGGAGACCAGTCTAAAGTCTACACTAGGTGTGAATAGCAGACATGGCGTGCTGTCAGAAATAGTAACCTTTTTAGCAGGAAATTTTTATGAAGTTTTGACTCTCAAACTGAAGCAAAACGAAGACATTTCGTGTGGTTTTTGTTTGACTCATTTTTTATTTGTCTGGCTTTTTATGTTGCTGATCTGGCTTTGATGCATCATTCATCACATTATAGACTTGAGTGTGTACAGAAGGTAAAACGATAAAAGGTAGCTGCTTGCTGTGAATCACTTCTCTAAGTTGAAACGCCTCAATTGCCATAAACTTGGCATATTTATCAAGAAACATGCATTAAAAAAAAGTAAATTCATAATTTGCGCAGTAGCTCAAGAAAGACTTGGCGTTGACTCTATGGTGGCAGAAAAACAGCCAGAGATTTGTGGCTAGTTTCCAATTTCTTGATACTGATTTTAGCCAAGTCCAAAATCTCTTTAGGAATTTCATATATATATATATATATATATATATATATATATATATATATAATATAAAAACATCCCTTTCTCTTGCTGTGAGCAGCCTCCAGGGTCTGATATACAAAGAAGAGGGCATATGGGCTGGAGACAGTGTTGGTGTCCTGTCTACCATAGGAAAGTTCTTCTACTTATACAAGTGACATTACATTAATTAGTCGTCATATTTATGTCTTGATGCATGGTAAGTGTAAAACATCAACACAGCAGTAGCTTAATTTGTTCGCAAAAAAATTGACTATAACTTTGTAATTTTCAAACACTTGTTTACATTTATGTTTATGAGAATCCCAAACTATTGCTACAATTCATCTGACACTGACTTAAGTTTTATATAAAGTACAGTGCAAAACATTCATTCATTTAAAAAATAGTCTTTGTTTCCCCCCAAAAAAATTGGCGCCCAGGGCTACTGCCCTTGTGCGCCCTTTCTAATATCTGGCCCAGACTGTCAATATTCATGTTCTAATAAGAGGCAATGTCACATTATGTAAAAGCCAAAATTATCTCAGTAGACATTTAAGCTGTGTTTAGCATCTTAGCTAAGCACAGCTAAGCTAAGAAAAAGCTATAGAGCTTTTTCTATAGAAAAGCTCTATAGAAACTGAAATATGCTTCAAAAACATAATTCATATTCATGTTGTATAAAGGCTTTTTTTTTTATCCATGTGGCATTCCTGATGCTTTCTTCTCATGGCGCTCCTGCGTTTTGTGCCAAAGCACAAAGTCAGAACAGTGGGTTGAATTTGATGAGTCCTTTGAGGCAGCAGAGCAGCTTGTCAAGGAGCCAAATTGGCAAGTGTGCAGTAGGTGGGAGGCACAGCACAACACTTTTACCACCACAAGGTTCTCGCTTCACGAATGCCATGCTTAAGTTGCGATATGTAAGCAGTAGACACGCCTTCAAAATATTGCTGAGCAACTGAACCCCTCCACCCCCCCAAAAAAAACCCAGTGACACCAGAACAGAGCCTGCACCTTTAAAAAGAGGAGTTTTCTTACATGAATTTAGCTTTAGATGGCTAGAAAATAAAATTCAATGAAAAAGACTTTAGGAACAGTATGACAGAATCTTTTTAAAACAATATGTTTAATCAACTTATAACTAGACCTGTCTTATGTTGCTGGACGATAAATTCTCCTAGAAGTTATTACAGTAAATAATGTTTTTGAGACCAATTTCAAGTAATTTGTTTATGGCAAAATACACCTCATCAATTGGGAGGGGGGAGTCATTTCTGGAAGACATTCTAAATATTCAAAATGCATTTAGAGAACAACCAAACAAAACAAAAAATAATAATAAAATGCATACTGAACTCTGCAATCAAAATTGCCCTTAAAACAGGAGGCTGGTTGATACTGAAGACTTTTATCATCCAGTCTTTGGTAGAAAGAGAAAAACAATCATGTAAACAGAAATGATGCATCTTGTTGAAATTTATTTATTGCGACAGGCTCACTTCTATCGCTCCTTTCCTGAGTTTTGTGACTTCTCATTGTTTTGGTTGTGTCTAACATCAGTTTTTCTACATCTTCCCTGTTTTCCTTCCCAGCCGTGTCGTGTTGCCGGTCTCTGTCGAAGAGGTGAGTGATATTGTCTTTTCGTGTTTTTTTCTTAATTTTTTTTTTTTTTGGTACTAAATACTTAATTTGAGTCAAAACATTTTGTCCAGTAACTTACAGCCTCTGGTGTCTTTTAGTGGAACTGCTGCTTCTCTGCTTAATCTTTTCTTTTTGTTCTACTTTGTAAGGATTTGTGACATTTGCATTATCACTCTGCTTTTATTTAATTTTTTTCCTACAGTATCAAGTAGGGCAACTGTACTCTGTGGCTGAGGCTAGCAAGAATGAGACGGGAGGAGGAGAAGGAATCGAAGTTCTGAAAAATGAACCGTACGAGAAGGAAGGAGAGAAGGGACAATATACACACAAAATATATCATCTAAAGAGGTAAGTCTTGTTTTTGTGTAATTGCTCTGTTAAGTATTGAAAATCAGAAAAACTACCTATGGGTCTTGACATATCATTAAACACTAACTTCTTTTTTAGCTCTGAACAATTTAAATGTGTTGAGGAAAAGTTGGTGTTGAGGTTTTATCAGTCCTTGGTTTGTCAGAGCTTTTTAAATTCTTAAGGCCATGAAGGCGCTAAAGGAGTTTCATGTCTTTTTTTTTTTGTTGCTTTTTTTAAATTATTTTTTATTCACCAATTTGTGCGAACAAAATTTACAGAAGTGTCAACCGAGAAAATGAGAATAAGCAACAACAAAAAAAGGTTTCAAGTTAAAATATCCATACTACATGCTAAACATTTCCATTGTTGTTGTGACACCACTTGGTTATGTTGTTTTTGTTTTTTCATTTGTACGGATTTCATGTTTATCACTGAACCCATTCTGAGTTGGCAAATTCTGTAGGCCAATATGAAATACCTAAAATTGGTTTAAGATGCTTGACATTAGGTGTGCAATTAATCTGAGTTTGTATTCCAGTTTCGACTCTCAATAATTATCAATCTTAAAAACAACAAACAAAAACATCATTATTAGAATAATTTTTCATGTTCTGTCCTAAGGCTCTCTGGAAAAAGCACTGGGAATTTAGGAATTTCCTCAATAAAATGGAATTTGCTATATAAAAAACCCAAGAATATTGCTGATTTTATTTTATTTTTTCATAAGTGGGTGATTAACAAGCTTTGACTTTTTCTTTACTCTCACATTCCCAATGAAAAGACAACGTCTGACTGTTCTGCTCCTCACAGCCTTTTCAATATTAATTAAATGTTTTAAGTGGAGCCCTGATTAGTTCTTTCAGGTCCAGCCTGCCGTCTTCCTGCATGTTCTCCCTGCGCATTCAGGGGTTCCCTCCTGGCACTCCGGTTTCCTCCCACAGTCCAGAAACGTGACTACCTGGTGTTGCCCTGGAAACCAGTCCAGGGTGCACCCTGCCTCACCCAAAACATGGAAAATAGAGAAATACAAATAGAAACAAGATGAAATTTGAAATAAAATGAAGAGATTTCCACAGGCCCTAGGGTTTTTGTTCATTAGTTTGGGTGCAATACATGCAGTGTTTTTGAAAACTCCTGTATTAATTCCAGTAAATAATAGTATTTTTCAACATTTACCAAAATAATTAGAATTTTCCATAATCCAGCTGCTCTGTTTGACACTTAGACAGCTCTGTTATCCTTTTTGCTGCACACTAACAGAACCTGGAACGTGTGAGAAACGAATCCATCAAGATTCATGTTTAAACCTGCGTTTGTGTCTTTCTGTTGACTGGTGTGGTTGCTAATTGCATTTCCAGCATTCCTTAAATGTTCAGTCAGCCAAACATCTAGTCTGTGCTGTGTTTGTAAGGTTTTATGACAGATGTGTTCTGCAGGACTCTAATCTACATTTGGTGGCCCGAGCTTTTCACAGTGTAGTTTACAACAGAACCCAGGATGAGTTCAGCAACATGCCTGAATACTTTCAAAGCAAAAGCAGAAAACTAGTGCATGAACAGAAGGAAGGAGTAACATGTGGAAAATGACAACACACACTTTATCTAGTTAAGTCTTAACAAGTCATGTCTAACACCAAACCTAATGGTGCACTGTGCAGCTGATCTTTACACAAACCTCTGAAAGGGTGTCATGAACAGCTGCATAAATCTGTGAGTGGGAAAAAAAATGTTCACTTTAGTGAGAGAACAACCTTCACATCTATTTAAGATAAAATGTGAATAAATTCAGATTGAAAAGCTATTTTTTTTTTTATTCAAGTCTTCCTGAAGAATCACAGCTCTGATCTGTGTTCCTCCTGCTTGGCTTAGCGATTAGACTTTAACACTAATGATTGCATTAGAAGTTGTTGACAATAATAAAATAGACTAGAGGCTGTTACAAACTACCCACTATAATATTTATGAATTTACATGTCTTATTTGTGTAAAAATGTTCTTTGTGTCTCTCTGACTGCAGTAAAGTTCCTGGGTATGTGAAGATGATTGCACCAGAGGGAGCATTAGTTTTTCACGAAAAAGCTTGGAACGCTTACCCATACTGCCGCACTAGTGAGTTCACACTGAACAGAAACAAACTCATGGTTACGCTCCACCTTCATAGTGTAATAATAATAATGACAATGGTGTAGTAATGGACTTGTTTGTTTGCATATCCTGAAACCCTGTTGTTTTTCGCGTTTGTTTTGTTTTTTTTGTTTTGTTTTTTTACTAATGATATTTTTTTATCTCTTCCTTCTTTCTGCCTTTCCCTCCTTGCTGTTCAGTTGTGACGGTGAGTTTACAATCTTTTCATAAAGATTTTATTGATCCTGTTCACAATTTGTTGAATCTCATCTCTGAGGAAAATAGAATGGGTTTCTGATCACTTTAGACTAGAAGAACCTTTCATTTTGTTTTGATAGAGTTGCTGTGAAAAGTTTCAGGTGAACAAGGGATTTCAGGTGAAATTAAATGACGTCACATTGAAAAAGTTAGCATGCTGAGAAATTAGCAGCATAACTAATTTCTCAATTTTTGTAACATCAAAACTATCCAACTTCAATGTATGTTGTTTGGGTTTAAAATATTAGCGTAAAAGCTAATCTTCATACATAATTACAAAGTGAAAGTTTTTTATATACAATATAAATATACCATGAAAACCAGCATTAATTTCTACTGAGTTCACTTTACTCTAATGCTGCTAAATAAAATACAGTTTTACCAATGACCTTTAGAAGTTACCTAATTAATAGATTAGTAATAAATTATAGAGTAGAATAACTTGGGAACTAAAGTAACAAAAAAAATGTAAGTCTGTCTTATTTACATTAAATTTTCTTTTAGCAGGACTATGTGTCATATATTCTCTAATATGTAATTTTACACAGAAACAAAACTTGAATGTATCTCAGTGTGGGATACACTTGTTATGTTTGACTGTAATACAGCAGGATTCCCCAACTATCACCTATATTTAAATTTTCCAGGTCTTAAATTTCATTTAAGGTGACATTGAAAAGGTCTTAAAAAGTCTTAAATTTGACTTGCTGAAAGCAATCACAATAACCAGAATGCTATTTGTGAGCTTTAGCTTTAGCTTCCATTAAAGCCATACTTAAAGTATTTCCAGTGAGGGTAGTGAAAGTATATTACTGGAGCTTAAAATAAACCATATATTCTATCAAATCCTTCGAAGTTTCAAAATTGCCGACTTTGCTGTTGTGATAATAGTTGTGATTTAATCCACTATTCCTATTTCTGGAAGAGTTAATGTCAGAACATTCAGGTACAAGGAGCATCATAGAGAGTGAGGAGCAGAGCAGACAGATCAGGGAGACGGTGGTGGAGAATCAGGGTCAGGTTCTAAAACGAAGTGCCAGGGTTTGAATACATCACAGCTCTGTTCAATCCATGGCCTGAAAACCAAAAGATGTCAGCACAACAGCAGACCTACCAAAACTGTTGCTGGAGCAGCAGCATAACTAAAATAAATGGTATTACATCCGTTTTATGTGTAGGAACTCTTAATCAAGCACTGTTTGATTTTTATTTTAAAATATTTATTGCCATTATTTCTACCTCTTGAAATGATCCATACAACCCCAGATATTTGTTTCCATTGTTATTTAACATAACCATGTCCAACTCCATTTTACAAGCGTTACTCATTGGCCAGCGTTCCAGTTCCCTGCAAGCTAACAACTGCTGCTGAGGTTTAAAATGGATCAGAGTTGAGCGATGCAACATCACTACTGTACTTTCAGTCCAAAGTCTGCTTTGCTAATTGGATTAAACTGTGGGCTTTAAGTGTGTCCCTCACGACCCTCCATTCATTTTGTTTAGCTAACCCTCCGTTCTGAGATGAGCTCCGCTGGTCACCATGGGGCACGGTCCGTCTGATTATAGACCGACGCATTACGCGCCGACTGAATCTGTTTTCTGTTCTGCTTTCTCAGAATGAGTACATGAAAGACGACTTCATGATAAAGATTGAGACGTGGCACAAACCCGACATGGGAACAATAGAAAACGTAAGTAAGGAATTAATCAGGATTGTGAATGTATAAACAGTGGATTGTATATTACTCCATAATGCGCCATCAAGTATTGCTGCCTTGAAACTTCTAGTGTCTTTTTGTTTCATGAGTCTTACTCCGTTTTTAAACACACACCCTGTGTAGAAACTCATCCCAATAGTTAAAATATAAATATTTTCATTAATTTGCATCCAGACAACCTTTGCAGCACCACTTGTGTCAACAAGAATTAGCTTTACTTTACAAGAGATTGGAATTCCCAAACGAAATACACTTTTTTTTATTTTAGTCCCAAACTGCTCCCCTCCTGCCTCCCTACTCAGAGAGGCTAACATTTGACCAGCTCTCCATCCAACAGGTTCTAAGATCCCCAAGTCTGCCTGAGTTTTACCCCAATCAGGACTTTTAAGGACTTTATTAGCTGGTCTATAGAGGAAGACTAGCCTGGTTTCTGTGGCTTCATTCTGTAAATCAGTCAGACCAAGTGGCTATGTAGTCACCTGGGATTCACAGACCACACCCATCAACGGTCGCTCTGAATCAGGTGTTATGTAGTGACTCTTATGGAGCCCCAGGGGTGTTATTTTGTTTTTCTAACTTTAGGCCTATAGCAACCCTTAAAAGTCTAATATGTGGGGTGCTGTGGTGATGCAGGAGTTAAGCACGGCCCACATGGAGCATCTAAAAGAAACATCTGTTTTCCTTCTGTAAAAGAAAACAGTCGTAATAATTCTTTGTGAGATGAACTGACAGAAGCAGACCATGTTAAGCATATTGCATACTTCCAGGTCTATCATTTTTAAGCCTTGGGATAGGGAACGATCTCGTCTATTCCTGACATCCTGGTTGCATTTTGATGAAGTAGTTGTTTTTGTTTTAGGTGCACGACCTGGATGAGGAAACATGGAGGACCGTAGACGTAGTGCGCATAGATATTGCAGACAAAGAAGAAGTGGCCCCTGGGGTGAGTCGGACTGCTTCTGATACGTCAGGGTTCAGTTAAACCTCTGAAGTGAAAAAAAGGAAATAAATTTAAAGAATATTAAATTTGAAGAATATTTTAATTGACCAACTTCTGATTAGTTTGTTAGCCTAATTCAAGGTGAAGAGCTTCTTTGGGTTCATGTTGGGTGTTTTGGATTGAGAAAAGAAATGGATGATTTTATACCAGAGTTCTGGATTAAGAAGAATAGTAACTAGAAAACTCTTCAAATGACAATAGAAATGTTAAAAGTTTCTATTGGAACAACAAAACAATCTAACAAGGTTACTGCTTGGTGAAACACTGAGCTTTACTTTTGGTCTAATTAATGATTGACCCAGTCACTTAGGGCAAATGTTACTCAAGGCTTGATTGGACATTCAAGATCCAATCACAACCTGTCAGCCTGTGCAGGTTGGACACAAAACAACAGTCTATTCAATAGCATGAAAAAGCAACTGCACAATTTAATAACTTATCTCTTCATTCTGCTTAGATTTTAATATATGATTTCACTAAAAAGGAATTCATTAAATTCCTGTCAGAGTTTAAGTTTTTAATATCTATCAATTAAGTTATTCTGCTTATTATTCTGTTGTTGCCAGAGTGTAAAGCACTTTAAATGGCCAGAGTCAGAGGTTTGTGAATGCACATTTTTAAAACTTGCCTAATATCAAATCTGCTGTACTTCACCACATCAAGCAGAGCTGTTGTGCACAACAATTGCATTCAATTATATTTTGATATGTAGACACCATACTTATTGATTTCTGGGGGGAGATGGTTGATATGAAGTTAAAACTTGATCAAGAATCTGGCATGATTTTTTTTTTTTTTTTTTTTTTAAAGAGGAAAACATTTTCTTGAGTGTTATCTATTGTCTTTTGGTCGTGCGAGAAAATAACTTGGTCTTTCACACAGAACTACTTTTATACAAAACTTCAATAGCAGCTTTGTTGGCCTGGTAACGTATAAAAAACTTGCCCTCTTATGATCTGCCTTAAACACCAATTCATAACGTTTTTTGTTTTTTTTCTCTAAAATTAGCCAACAGAATAATAAGTAGTTTTGTTGCACTGAGTGGAGAGAAAAGTTCCCCGTTTGAAAGGCCTTATTCTGATTGATCATTGCTGAACAGTGGTTGTTTAAAATCGAGTGGGGTTTGATAAGACATTTCACTGCAGATGCGTCTCTACTGGCCCTGCCTTTCTTACATTGGTTCTTATACAGTAATGACTTAAGTGGATCAGCTTGTTGGACGCAGCTAAACTTAAATGTCCATCTGTTCCCAGTATTCACCTACTTTTTACAGCAGAGCTGACAGACTAAAGCAGAACCAAGACCTTGGATGGGGTTGGAGTAAAAAAATGAAATGGAGATTCATACATTTTCAAATTTCACTGGGCTTGTCAAACTTCATACTAATTTGGGAATAATTAGATGGTCTGACTGCGCTTGACTTTTCCTTGCTGTATTTACTCTGTAGACAGGATTCTCTTCCTGGAAAGGTCAACCTTTTAAAGCTGCAGTGACACAAACCATTTCCTTTCTTCATCACAATGCTTTGCTTTCACAAGCTGTCGTCCATAAAACAAAAAAACACTGTCTGTGTTTTCTGCCTGCATTTTTAATTTGTCTGCAGCAAGAATTTGAACATTTTAGTTCTTTTTCTTTTAGGACTACAAGCCAGAAGAAGATCCCGCCCTTTTCCACTCCCCGAAGACGGGCAGAGGACCGCTGGGTTCCGACTGGAAGGTGCCTGCCATGAACAACGAGCCCCATCGTGTTTGTTTATGGCCTGGTGACAGCTGTTATTGATCACCTCTGTTTTCCGCTGATGTGTCCCTCCAGAACGAGCTGAAGCCAGATTGTCCTTACATGTGTGCTTATAAACTGGTCACTGTCAAGTTCAGATGGTGGGGTCTGCAGACCAAAGTGGAAAACTTCATCCATAGGGTACCATACACTGCTCTTTATCACACATGCTCAAGACTTCTTTATGTTTCAGGCTACCCCTAGTTCACACGGTGAGATTTTCCTGCCGATTTTCCCCTTCAGAATTTCTTAAAGATGCCCAGATTATCAGGATGGCTCTAAAGAGATATTCCTGCTGTGTAAAGAGAGATCTGGTCTGTTCAGAATGATGTCGGTACCGCTCTGATTTAAGGGTGTTTTCACATCCCATAGTCCGGTAGACTCACTTCAATTTGGGACCAAAATTGCTACATTTGTTGCATTTTCATCTGCTGTGGTTCTCTTTCACAATGCTCTGTGTCAAACCCTTTGGAGAACCTGTTCCCCTCCTCGCCTATGGTGGCGCTGCATCAAGAACCACTGAAGGAAATTGCACAAAAACCTCTGAAGAAGAAAGGAGCTCAACTTCCCTTTTCACAAAATGCAAACAAAAATGGAGTGGCGTCTGATTTCAGCGGCTGTAGGATATTTCTCATCTTTGGTAAAAGACCACAAACTATTTCTCTCACTAGCTCTAGACTTGTGTTTGTTTTGGTTGTATTTACCCAGAATGCCCTGCGCTGTAGTCCACGTCCTGCTTTTGGAGGTCCATTTCTAGAAATAAATATTGTCCACAAACTATCACCGTTGCTTCTTCCCAGTCGACCATCTTTGTTTACTCCAAAGTCACGTTTGAGCTCGAGAGGTTTTGCGAGATTTCATGTCTGACAGCTGAATGTCGGTGAGTGAAATCAGTTTATGGTGTGGTGTGTTGCTGGATGCCACACATCGTTGTGTGTGGGGGATCTCTCAGGTTTGGGAAATCGGCTGATACTTTCAAAATCTTGCCATATGAACCAGGCATTAGCTGAGCAAAATGATTTAATTTTGGGACTGAGGAAAAATGGTGAAAACCACAGTTTTCATTATTTATGTTTTTGTAAAACCCTTTCACCTCATTTACATTTCATCCTACAGTTTTGTTCCACGTTTAAAATAAGTGGAAATGTTACAGTATGAATACTTTTACAAGTATTTTTTAAAAATGTCTTCTGGAACAACAATCCACTTGCTTTATAGATGCCCATAAAGAGGAACTGTCATTTAAATCACGTTTGTCCTGTCTTTTGTTTTCTTTTTTTTTCTTTTCCCACAGCAAGAAAAGCGAATTTTCACCAACTTCCACCGTCAGCTGTTCTGCTGGATTGACAAATGGGTTGGTTTGACTATGGAGGACATCCGGCGGATGGAGGAGGAGACCCAGAAAGAGCTAGAGGAGGTAATTCATTCAGACCTGAACTAGAACACACTGCCCTCTTTCTCTGATGAGTCACAGCAACTTAAGCAGACGTCCAGTTTGTTTTTCTCTCTTGGATTTCTAGACTTTTGTTGTAATTTCAGCAGCCTGCAGGAGACGACACTTCACAGTGAGCGTTCCTGACTTAACCTGCGTTTACTTCCTAATCAGATGCGTCAGAAAGGTGACGTGCGAGGCACCACGGCAACAGACGAGTAGAGGCGCTGCGCTGTAGGTCAGACACTAGAGGCAGGCTGAGTAAGTTTGTGGCCAGGAGAGGTGGCAGTGCTGCATGGACCGACCTCCCTCCTCTTCCTCACTCCGTCACCCAGCCCACCTGTTTCACTTTTTGTCCAACCGGACGTTTGTGCTTCGTTTTACCTCTGACATTGCTCTGCTTTTCACTAATAAACCCTGTTTTTCTACCATGGACCCACCAGTTTGTGTTAACCCGGTCTGAAAATTACATTTTAACAGGGCAGTTATTTCCATAAAAAAATGAGAATAAACTGGAAAAACCTCTGCTGAAGATCCAAAGAATTATCCCTTGAAAGATATGTTTTAAAGCTTTAGATGTGGACACTGTGAAGTATCATATTTAAATCATTCATTTAACAGAAAAGCTGACTTTTAAGTTCAGATTTTTCAGATATTGATCTTTAAAAGTGGTAGATGCAAAACTATTTTGCATGTACAAACATGTCAGCATCAGGTTGAGATGTTTTGCAGGAAATCCTAAATATAACTGGACAGATTAGGAGCCTCTGATGTGTAATTGGTTAGCGTTACTGAGGGATCCATATATGAAGAACAGGGTCATGTTCTGCATGTCTTTCAGTGTTTTAGTGTCTGCAGTTCGTTCACATCTTTCTCACTTCCATTCTAATATTTTCTTCCAGCTCATAAAGTTTTGTCCCATCTTGTTTTCCGCTGATCTCGTTTTTTTCTTCCTGATGTTTTTTAATTGGTGGATTTAGGCATGGGCCAGTTGGACATTCACAAAGTATGATAACTTTGAGTATTAATATTTTAAATGTATATTATCTGTAACAATTTTTTTACATTTTATTTTGATATGAAATCTTAAGCAATGAAGTAGAATGAATAGCTCCTGAATTTAGTATTAGTGTTTAAATGGAAGCAGGTTGCCATGGAAAACAGAACCAATCTGCTGCCTCCACCAGAAAAAACTTTAGCTTTGTGGTGAATTTAGTGGTATTGGAAAATGCCTATCAGCCAAAGTTTTGGAGTAAAAAAAAAATTCATTTTTAAAATCTAACATCACCAAAAGTTTTTTTTATTTTTTTTTTTATTTTTCTAACCTACTCAACAATAAACTAAGTATGAATTTCTGCTTTTTTTTATGGGATTGTAGATCCAACACTTCAAATATTTCCACCAGTCTCTCTTTGAGACTTTCATAATGAAAAAATAACTGCTTCTAAATATAGATATACGCATGTTTTAATCGTTTTTCCCACTTTTTTCATGGAATAATTCGACTGAACGCTTTCAACAGAATTATGCAAAAAGTCCCAGTTATTTTCTGGGACTCGGTTGATATCAACATCCAGTAGAAGAAAACGTATCCATCCTCAAGTTTGAATTTGTTTTAAAATCTAAAAATGGGAATAATGTTTTTTTTTTTTTTTTTAAATAGTAAATTTCCTATAGTAAATATCAACCGAAAATTATACGTTTTTATTTAACATTCAATGAGTTTTATTTAGTTGGACTGAAGGCAAAATGTCTATTTGGATTTGTAACAGTTTCAGACACCTGGTCTAAATTAACACTAATTGGTAGCCTTTCTTTTCCTTTTTTCTTTTTTTTTTTTTTTAATTTAGCCAGCTGACCAACAATGTGCAGCAATAGATTGGGGAGGGGCAGCGACATGAAAGCTTTTTAAACAGCTTCAGGAAAACACCAGTGGTTTTCCATTCCTCCACACTGGTAGCTGGCCCATGCCTAACAGGAATGAAGCTAACCTGAATTTGCTTCCTTCAGTGGACTGCATGGGCATCGCTGCTAACAAAACATGCGCATTGACTTTTAAGTGTGCACACAACCAGCTAGTCGGCTTTCGTTAACCTGCAGAAATGCCGTTTCTCTCTCCTCTCTCTCTCCCACACCTCCAGCTGCGTAAAATAGGTCCGATTCGAGGCACCAGTGCTGCTCATGAGCAGTGAGGAAAATCAACCAAACCCTGTCATGATGATGTCATCAGAGACGCGCCCATCCCGCTGAGAAAATGGCCCCCCGACTTCGCCTCTTCTCGTCCTGTGTCACATATTGGGGGGGTTTGATGCGATTGGTTAACAGTACTGTACAGATCCCATCCCCGTCACAAGCCTCCTGTTCACTCAGTTGACACACACACACATACACACACACAAAAGCATAAGAAAATGTAAGAAAAAAAATGTTTTTGCATACATGTATAAAAAAACAAAAAAACAACAAAAAAAAACATTTGCACAGAACATAAAATTGCCTGATATGTAATTGTTAGTTGATTCTAATGGGCTTTGTTTTTATTCAGGTCTGTAAACCATGACTCCAGAAGCCAAGCCTTTTAAATTAGAATGTTGTTTTCTAGCTTCACAGGTCCGCACCACAAATTCAGTTTATTTAAGCAGGTGTCGGACCGTTTACCCTGTCTTGTAATATAACTGTTTCTATTTTACTTCTCCCTCACTACTGTCTGTTTGTTTCGTTTTGTCCTGAAAGCTCGTTTGTTTTCCGCTCCTCTGCTTCATCCTGCTGTCCCATCTGTCTGACAGTTTGCTGGGAATATTTTCTCCCACTGTTTGGAAATTTGAGGTGGTTTTGATGATATCAAACATTTATTTTTCCTCCGCATTCAAACACATGTTTTTTGTCAAACAGTGGAATCTGTATTTTTTATTTTTTTACCCTTTGCTGCATGTAGTAGCTGCAGTGCAGCTTTTCTCAGTTCTACTGAGTTCAGAGTGCAAGGGAGCACCTTCTACTTGTGTCAGCGTGAACGTTTGTGTGCTTGTCAGTGTTTTTAACTGCCTTCACTCTTAAAGGACTGTCTGTTTTTTTTTGTTTTTTTTGGAGTGGGATCGAGATGGATAGCTTCAAATCCAGGTTAAACCAGCCTTTTGAACTTTGCCTCACGCTGTCGCTGCATGGCCTTCTCTCCTACGGCTAGGGCTTTAACCGGACGGCTCGCACAGCCTCCACAACGAAACAAAGCAAAACTAAAGTGTGAGTGTGCATCGCTGTGTGCATGAATCGGGTTAGGGTTTTTTTTTTTTTTTTTTTTTTTTCTTTCTTTTTCAAATAAATATATGTATGATTATGTATCCAAAACCAGAAATTTCTCAAATGTCAGAAATGGGTCCAGGCAGATCCGCCATGTTTGTTGGGGATTTTTTATTTTTTTTCCCCCTCCATTTGCGTTTATGTTTCCAGGAAATGAGCCTAAAAAAATTTTTTTATTCTGATTTAGGCTAAGTTTGGAAATGGCTTTGAAGCGATCCTGCTCGCTTCTTTGGCTACGTTACATGAGATTTTCACATCTGCAGGTTGGGGTTTAGATGTTTTGTTTTTTTAGTATTTTTATTATTATTTTGAGCTTGGGGTAAAATGTAGTTAGTGTTGTGGCTTTAAGGCTGGCGATCTGGTCCAAGTGTGTCTAAAATTGAGTTTTGTCACAAAGTTACATGAAAGCTCGACTGTAAGCGTGCTCTTTATGAAATCCGATAAAGCGGACAAACTGTAGATATGAGCGCCACTGGGCTATTAGCAATGTCAGGTTTATTAATTTACAATATCGCTCTGATTTCTTAACGGCAGGTAAAATCAGCCCTGTGTGTAAAGCGGAGCCGACCGTACCTCATCCATGCTTATGAATGTGTAGCTCTACATGCATAAGAGGGATAGATGTTGATATCACCAGTACATGAGGACAAATGGTTTGACTAAAGCTTGATTTGCATGTTTGGTTTTAATTTTTTTTTTTTTTGTTTTTAAACACTTTATTTTCGCCAACTTTTTTTGCAAGTTTCTCGAAGCGCATCAGACGAGGTGGACAGTTAAAGGGGCGGACTTCCCCTCACAATCAGACTCTCCTCAGCTGGACCTCTGATTTACGAGACGAGGAGTGAAAAGCCTGGGAGTCTGGTCATGATGGGAGTGGAACCAGCGGAGTTATCCCAGCCAACGGATACTGTAAGGAGGAAAGGGGTTGGAGCATATATGGAGAAAAAAAAAAAAAGAGAGATAAATGGAGTCCAAAAATACTGTTTTCTTATTGTAATCATGAATAAGCACTTGCAAAATCTACTGTTTTTTCTTTTGTTTTGTTTTTTTGTTTTGTTTTTGAAAGACAAAGATTCACAATGTATTCAATTTTCTCTTTCTGATAAGGCAAACATTCAGGGGAATTAGTAGTGAATGTAAAACAATTAGTACCTTTTTCCTCGTTCATAGCTTTCAGGCTGTGACAGAAGGTCTAGACAATGGAGCATAACAGAATATCTAATAAATTTGAACAAATAAAATGTAAAATGAGCAGTGTTTGATTTGTTTGTCTCCTTCATGAGATGATTGACTGTTTTATTAGGAGTGCTTTGTCATTTTCTTTCACTTATAAACTAAATTGTACATCACACTATTGCAATTTTCATTTGCTGAAAAAAGTAAAAAATTTATTTTACTTCCACATCACAGTAGTGCGTAGTAAACATTGAAGTTTATATTTTTATCAAAAATATTAAAGTGTCTAAATACTTTTACAATTTGGCAACGTTGAGAAAAAGAAGTACCTGTCTTAGCGTGGTGTTCAGGAGCGCAGACGCAGTGGGATGGGTTTATTCCGTTAGACCGTCAGTTCTCGGAACCACATGCACAAAAAAAACTTGTAAAAGCACACATGGGAGTGAGACCAGGCCGAACCGCTCACTTGTGGAATACAAATAACCCCAACTACATTTAAGATTTGGTCTTAAGACCAATTCTTGAATGTTATGTATTAATACATGATTATTCATGTTTCAATACATGGATAATCAATGTAATATACTTATTGAACTATAATATTTTTTACACTTATGATTAATATGAATCTGTCTAGCTTAGCAAAGGATGTAGTAATGATTTAGTAACTCCATCTCATAGCCTATGTCATCAATAATTACATTTTTTTCATATGGCTAAATCTTGTTCTGGATTGTCGATGGATTTATTTTATGTTTGTGCTGTTTATGATCAGTTTAGATTGGTTTTGTCTGAGTCAATGTCTGCAAAGCAATATAACCAATATTTAAGAAGTTTATTTTTTATAATATGAGCCTTATTTCTGACCAAATATTGTAAAAGTGCCCAGGGTAATAAAACGTATAATCAGAAGAAACTGTAATCATGAGGCACTTCCAAAATCGATTCTATGAAAAGGATTTACATAGCATAACATATAGATATGTTATAGATTATACCAATGTTATTTTTTTGTATATTATACAGTGATAATCTGCGTAAAAATGCAAAAAGAGATTTTGCATTATTTCAGTTTTTAAGGAAACAAAAGGTTCCCAAACCAACCTGACCTCTTTGAGGAAGTAATTGCCGCCATGTTAAATCATACAACTGTGATTAATCACATTTTTTGGTTTAATTTCAGCAGGGAGAGTTCTGAGGTAATGCCACTTTCGGCTATGAAGAACTCAAAGTTCTGTAACATTTTCCAAGAAAGGTAAAGCTTGACCCCCAAGATATTTGGCAAAACATTCTGTAGACTGACATAAAAAATGTACATCTCAGTACCTTTTTTGTACTCTTGTGTACAAAAAAGCAACCATCACACCATACAGTGGTGATGGTTTGAGTTGTGTTTACTGCTTCAAGATCTTGACGAGAAAAATGTTTGCCCATCATTTCATGACTTTTAAGCTTAAGTGCACATGAATTATTCATTAATCTCAAGCAACTCAACAAGTTCACCTCTAAATATTTTATAAAATGAAAAATGTAAAACATAAGATGTAAGATGCTGTGGTGTGATCTCAAAAAGGTCACATTCGTTGAGGAATGCTACTGAATTAAGACATTCTAACATACACTGATATCTATTTTTAAAAACCTTTGACAGAAATGTTTTTTATTTTTAAAGATTGTTACTTAATGGAGTAATATTTTTCACCTGTTGCTCAATTTTTGTCGCAGATTTTACTTAAGAGTACGTTGGTTGTCATAGTAATTCAGTCTTAGTGATGTACATCTCGTGATGCAAAGACATATTTGAAGGAAAATTTTAATTTCCAATTTCTCACAATATATATTTTAAATCGTTGCTTCTTATTTTCATTTATTGACAGTAATGGGTTTCCATATACGCATGCTATTCTGATTTCAGCGGGGGGGGGGGGGGGAATCTTTAAATCAGGCATGATACAGCCGGAAGTACGCATGCGCGAACATTTACACAGCAGGTAAACTCCACCATGGCGGCGAGAGGCCATGTGCAAGATCCTAACGACAGGAGACTCAGACCTATTTATGGTAAGATATCAATTAGGAGATAAATATTTATTCAGTGGGGCAGGTTTGAAGAACAAGGCCGTATTCTATCGGGGACTATATGATTTCAATACAGGCTGTTGGAGTTTTAAGTGCAGTGATGCGGCCCCTCAGGTTCCAGCCGCGGACTCTGCTGCATGCAGGGTCCAATGACAGTGCACCTTACCCGGTCTAACGCTAAGCCGGAGAAGGACACCGCTGCTGCGGCGGACGTCTGAACGAATTCTCGCACCTCCCGTTTCAAAAACTACGCTCATTAGCAGTTGTGTTGAAGCACTTTAAGGTTTGGGCGATTTAAAGGTGTTGTAGCTCCCTCTCAAAGTCGAAAGGTTTCTCCTTTTGCTAACGGTGGGTGTTTGACAGCTAGCTCAGCTGGCTAATGTGTCAAGATAATCAGCCTGTCAGATTGTAGGTACATTCCCGATACATTTGAAGAACTTTACGAACTTCACAAGATATTTCCTGTCAGGTTTGGACTACAATGTCCGACATAACGCGGCAGCTGGAATATTTGAAAGGCATAGTTGTATAGTTAGCCTTTAGTTAGCATTAGCATCACAACAGTTAAGGACAATGCTTTGTAGCTGGCTAGCTGTGTGGAGCTGTCAGAGCTCTGCTCAAACCGCCAAGCAACTTTTATAAGAAGCGTCCATTAGGTTTTTGTTTTCAAATTTAACCGAAATTTTACCCGCTTTTATGTGGTTTTTGGCTATTTTATTACGGCCACAAAGTTAGCCATCAGGTATCAATAGAAACTGCATACATGTCGGATCTCAGTTAGCAACATTAAGGTGTTTGTAAGGTAGAGTTTTATTGAAGTTTCATATGGAGACTTTTCTGCACAATTAAACTTAATTCAGGTATAGTAGGTTTGAGTTTTTGTTTTGCTTCTTTGCTATAAGTCAGTATTTAAAATGAATCAAATGACCCCTTTTGGAGAATTTAACTACAGTAACACACAATGAAGCAGTTTAAGAAGACCAGGACAGACTAGCATCGTCAGATTTCAAATGTTTTTGAAAACGAGCTACTTTTGTAAAAAAAAAAAAAAAAAAGTATTGGCAGCCCTCTACTGTCATTATCATTGCAGCTCAACACCAGAGGGAAGAAGAAAAGTAATTTCATAATTTTGCTGTCACAAAGCAGTTGTTCTATTAAGCTTAAGTAGCATGTCTGGATCAAGATCATAAAAAAATAAATAAATGCAGAAAAATTTAGCTTAACTGCATCAGGTTAGTATTTAAGGTGATGCTAAAATTTGGCCTTCAGAACTCAGAAAACCAGTCGGATGGAAAAACTCAAAACGGAAATAGAAATAAATTTGTGTCGACTTTTTAAGAGTATTTTATTTTGCATGCCCCTGCTGTTTTCAGGACCCTCTGTGCTGCTTGTCATGTGTCCCACTTATAAACTGCATCCTGATGTCGGTGTCCAAACCGTTCCTCAGAGTTTTCAGCGGTTTTGCCTTCCCTGTGACGGCAGCTTGAGCAGAGAGAATAGATGTGACATAATCACAGCATACTGCCGTGCCGGCCGGTTAATTTTGGCAGCCAGCTGTCCTGGAGGGACTGAAACAGTTTGTGGCTCTGCGTCCACACACTGCAATACTCGTGAGCCGTTTGGGGAAAACGTGTAGTTTGTAGTTTTATGTTGAGACTTCACTAGAATGTAAGCTAATTATTTTATAGTTTTTGACATCCTTGTGCAGTAACGGCACAAAATATGGCTGTAAAGAGAAATGACTTCAAAATCATCTGCTGGTGTGATGAGTTTAGTAATAATACCATTCAAATAAAAATCTACATTAACTGCCTTTATTTCAAGCAGAAAAGCAGCAATTAATAATAGATATCGACATTGGTTAAAGGTACATTATGTGTATAACATTATTGTATTGTCTTTATTAGTAATATATTAATGGCGCACCGATAAATCGACCCAGATATGCTTCATTGTGGACTGTTGGCAGATACTTATCTGAAAATCTAACAATTTAGTTATTTTTGTTGCTATGTCTAGCAACTTTTCTAATTTAAAAAAAAAAAAAAAAAAAAAAGGAGTTGGCCAAAGTGGGAAACAATAGGTCAGGCTTTTTAACAATTGGTGATCGGCTAGAATACAGCAGTCGTTGAATCCTAACAATATATTAATCAATAGAAAGATTTAAGAATGACAAGAAAATGTATTGTTTCCTTTGGAGCTGTTAGCATGGTAAATAGTCTGTCTGAAAATGAAGGAACTTGCGGCTGATTTAACGGTGGAACCCTCGGGGAAAAAATGTTGCCTAATAAAAATGAGTGGAGTTTTCTTTTAGCTTCACACACAACTCTTTGTTTTTCATGACAGCCAGTGTTTCCAAAAGCTGAATTTCTCTGTCGTATAGGCAAAGGGAAAAAGTGTAGGAGCCAGCTGACTGGCAGTGTACAGCAACAGGCAGGGGAGGGGGAGACTCTTTGTCCCATAAAGTTTTTTTTTTTGCTGCAACATTAGAGTACATTAAACAACAAATATTTTGGCAGACCATTTTTATGTATTTCATTTTAAGTTATATCTTTAAAAAAAATAAAAATCTTGAAAGTAGACATCCTTTAATCATTGAGCTTCTTCCTTATTTGGATTTGGTGGTGTGAAAATCTCCAGTTAATCAGTGAAACCTTCTCCAAGAAGTTCTGAAAGACTTCCAAAGATCAGAAAATCGTTTCCTATCATATGACCCATAAAAAGTACTGCTTACTTAAAAACAATCCTGTTAATTACTCATCTCCTCAGATGAAGCGATTGCTCATGAGGGGGTTATTAATGAAGTTAGTTTTTTCCCTTCCTAGGAAAAATAATGAATCTTCTGAATCTGAATGACTGTAACAGTTCTTCTTTTATTATGTTTCCTCAGATTATCTTGATAATGGCAACAATAAGATGGCAATACAGCAGGCAGATAAACTGCTGAAAAAACACAAGGACCTGCACTGTGCCAAGGTGAGTGGGATTTTTTTTTTTTCTGGCAAATTTTCAACCTTTCAAACTCAAAAAAATCAATGTTTTTTTTTTTCAGAAAATTTCTGAGATGAATCTCAAAGTTTCAGAATTTTTCTTTGGGCTCAGATTTTCTTTTTTTCCATCTATAATGGTCCTAACGCACTGTGATGAACTAGCATATCAGGATTCAACCCCTGAAAAAAAACATGCAAACATTTCCCACACAAAGAACAGAACATTCAGTCTGTTAGTTTTATGTTTTCAGGCTTGATGCTTGTATAACAATTGTTAATGCAATTATGAATAAATGATCGCTGTGGTATTTAGCTCATTTAAACACCTGCTCTACTGATGAGCTGTCAGAGAGGTGGTGTGTGGGTCGCCTTTTTTTTCTTTAGCTGAACCAAAACACACTGAATTCCACAGCACATCTACATGTTAAAATTGTCATAGTCAAGCTAGCGACTGATCTACTTCTATCTTCCTCGCTATTTTTTTTTATTAAAACTTTTTTCTGATCTTATCTACTTGCTGTAGCGCTGACAATTGGTAGCAAAGCATTGAACTCCTTTTTCTTGTATATATCTCGTACGTTTAAGATTTAGTGCATTACGTTGACGTCTTGACAACTAAAACCAATGTTAGCCACTGTCGGCTAGCAGCTTTTTGCCCTCTAGCAGGGAGCTGGGGCGGGGGGGGTACGTGATGTCACGTTGGCAACATATCCATACAGCCTCATCTTCAGTAAACAGCATCATCAGTATTTTTTTTTTTTTTTATTTATTTATTTTTTTTCCAAACGTTCTGCTTTTTGTTTTTTTGGTTTTTTTCTGCAGGTTTTAAAGGCCATCGGCCTGCAGAGGATGGGGAAGCAGGATGAAGCCTTCTCGTTGGCCCAGGAGGTGACCGCCCTGGAGCCCACCGACGACAACTCTCTGCAGGCGCTGACCATTCTGTACAGGGAGATGCACCGCCGTAAGTATTCACGCCCCCATTCCTGCCAGCTGATGTTAACACTCTGAGTTAATGGTTCACCGTCCGCTTCCAGCCGAGCTGGTCACCAAGCTGTACGAAGCGGCGGTGAAGAAGGTCCCGCTCAGCGAGGAGTACCACTCTCACCTCTTCATGGCTTACGCCCGCGTGGGAGAGTACAAGAAGATGCAGCAGGTGAGGGAACAAACATTACTAATGGCTGATTTTTCTTCCCTGTCGGTAATGAGATGGATAAAAACAACTTTATTCGTAACTTCACAGGCAGGGATGGCCTTGTACAAAATTGTCCCCAAGAATCCATATTACTTCTGGTCTGTCATGAGTCTGGTGATGCAGGTACGGCCAGGCTTTCTGTTGGCATGTCTTTTGCTTTTTCTACATGAAGTTAAAAGGCGACTCCGTTTTTAATGTAGGCGATCTCAGCGAAGGATGAGAAACTGGCCCAGACCATGTTCCTGCCTCTGGCCGAGCGCATGGTGGAGAAAATGGTGAAGGAGGAGAAGATCGAAGCCGAAGCTGAGGTAAGCCTCACTGAGTCTGCGTCATCTTCTGACCTTTGCCCTCTAGCCTGGACAGGGTAGGGCCAAAACGATTGATCGTGAGGATTCGATTACTGAAATAATCAACTAATTTAATAATTGTTTAATCGTCAAACAGACTGAAGTTGCATACAAACTAGCATGTTTAACTCTAAAACGTTCACTTGGTAACAGAATTTCAGCGTAGTTTTTTCTTCCACCATGTGGCTGCAGGTGCAGCTGTATTTTATGATCCTGGAGCGTCTGGGGAAGTGTGAAGAAGCTCTAGATGTGATCAGGGGTCCACTGGGAGGTAGGTGGATGTGTTTAGTGTTTGTTTTTTTTGCAATATTTCTGTTTTATATATAATAGAACAAAGTTCTTGGATCAAATATGACTGAATAATTGCTGTTTGTGGTCTTCCCTCTTGGTGTACGCAACAGCAGTGATCTGTTTTTTCCTGTTGATTTCCTAATATTCATATGGCACATAAATGTTGGAAAAAGTCAGTATTGTTTTTATCTTCAGTGTTCATTTTGAACTTTGTTCCACAGAGAAACTGACCAGTGAGCTGCAGAGCAGGGAGAGGAAGTGCATGATGCTCTACACTCGACTGGAACGCTGGCCGGAGTGCAACGCCCTGGCCCAAAAGCTGCTGCTGAAAAAGTGGGTAAACATTTATAAGAAGATTGGCCCCGCCTACTTTGGAGCGACTATGTATGCGACACTTTGGGGAAATTGTAGTTGGTGATTTTACAGAGAGTTATGGATTCAACACGTTACAATGACACACAAGTTTATATGAACTGTGATGCTGCACATTATCCAAGGAGGCCAAAGTGTTTCCGTTTCAGTTTTGCAAATTACGTCAGTTTTAATACCACTGAAGAACCACCTTATCCTAGCACGTAAACTTTATCTGAAAACGTGTTTCTATTGAGCGACTCCTAATTTACACAGTTTTACGGTCAATGGAAATACTGTAGGTGTCATCAATCAAAGCACCTCCTGTCTTTGTTGGAAGATTTGACATGAAACACGTTCAGTCTGCTACAGATCGCAGCTACGACGTCAGTAATACAAACTGTCCACGCACCCTTAAAAATTCATGCATTTAAAAGTATCAATGCCTTAAAATGTCTTCATTTCATTTTAAAAAGTAAGTTGGCCATTAATATGTTAATCACAGGTCTTACATTTTGTCTTGACAGAACTATTAAATTTGTATATTCTGTTTTTGGTTTTTTTATTGTTTTTTTTTTACTGTAGAACTTTTCTGAAAGTTGCACTCAGACATCTACTTTGTGTTCTGTGTCTTCAGTTACAGCCACAGACGCATAATAATTAAATAAGAAATACCTTTATTATGTCTATGGCTGAGGCTATCAGTAGCTAATTGCTAACATGCCCCTGTTAGCTAGCTTTTTTTCATAGGTAAGTCCAAATTTATTGCCAGTTGGCTGGACGACATTCTTACCTTCCTGTACAGATGCAGGTCTTAAATTCCATTCATGGTGACCTTAAAAAGTCTTAAATTTGTTTCCTGTTTCAGTCCTGACGACTGGCAGTTCTACCCCTCCTACTTTGACTCTCTGTTCCACCTGATGGACCAGTCGTGGAGCCCACCGGAGGACGGAGAACAGTGAGCGGAATTCTAATAAGGAAGCTCGTTGTGGGGGAAAAGGAGGCGGCGCTCTCACCATGTTTCTGTGTCTCCAGCTGCTCGGAGGGTTCGGTGCATCACACCGTGGCCGAGGTGGTGAGGTTTGTGGAGGAGAGAATCAAAGTAGAAGATGAAAAAGACTCTCGCTCTCTCAGAGGGCCGTACTTAGCCCGGCTGGAATTGATGCACCGACTGAGAGAACGAGGCTACCCTGAGGAGAACCTGCCAGGTAGGGCAGGATGCTCCGGGCTGGAGACAAGTTGTTCACCTACCTGATGATGCTGCTGCTGCTTTACCTCACACTCTGCTGTTTGGGTTTAAACAGGCGAGCCTCTAGACCTGATGGTGCAGTTCTTCAGGAAGTTCGGAGACAAGCCGTGCTGCATCACCGACCTGAAAATATACCTTCATCTGCTGAGTCCAGACCAGCATGTCCAGGTAGGACCAAGGTTACTGTAGTCCACCACAACGAGGAAACTGAACTTGGGAAAACAGTTTTGTTAACCGAAATCAATAAAAACAGTAATTTAATTTGGAAAAACTATAAAACATGCGACGCTGCAAACGACAACAGCAAAAGATGGGAGAAAACACTGGTCAGTTGGTTGTTGAGCAATAATTGAATTTTTTTAAAAATTTTATTTTCTGCTGAGTATTCATTACCCAATCAATACATTCATAATCACAATACAATACTTTCTGCTAAAAATGAACCAAAATATGGAAAAACTAAAACTACTACTATAAACAAAAAAATAAACTAAAAACTATTTTAATAACTTGGTAAAAACTAGCAAGGACACTCTAAAATTAAAACAAATATTTTGTTTTTTTAATACGATAAAACTAAAACATACTAAAACTAAACAATATTGAACTAAGTCATAAAAACTATCAAACACACTCTTAAAATGAACTAAAACTAATTGAATCAGACGCATAAAAAGTCACAACAAAATAAAACTGAACTATAATGAAAAACCCAAAAACTCATAACCCTGGTAGGGCAGGTTTCAGAGACGTGCCTGCCTGTGGAACAGCGAAGATTTGATGTGTAAAACATAGATTATGTTCTGTGTTGTTTCCTTCCTGCAGTTTATTAACCGGCTGAGTGAAGTGGTTCCACTGGGAGAGCAGGGAGAGGACGGCTTCGCTTTCCCAGAGGACACCAAGGCCCTCCAGAGGCATCTGTGTGTTTGTCAGCTGAGTCGGGCCCTGGGGTTGCATCACTCCCTGGACGTCAGTGGGAAGCTGCACCTCATCGCCGAGCTCAAGGCTCACTATCACCACGGCCTCAAGTTTGGTATGGCTGGCAACTGTTTCTGTTTTTATTTTATTTTGTATCGACCTTTCAGCATCGTACATTGTTCTGAACATCAGAGTAAAGAAGTGCGAGAGGCTCAAAGTCCACCATCTTGAGAATAGTAACCCCAAAGGCTCAATTATCAATGCATTCTCCACATTTTTATGTTTATGTTTCTGACCCAGCATGGTAGAATTAAGTCTCTTTCTTGGCGGTTCATCCAAACATTTGAAAACAAACGGCTCTTATGAAGTGAAACTTCAGAGATCTGCTGAATGTTTGTCCTATTTTGGAAAAATGCCACAAACGGCAAATATGAAACGTCACAAAATCAGAAGTGCTCCAGACCACTAGGGGCAGGGTGGAGTAGATGATATTACCTACATAAATATGCTGCTGTTGTATGTTATTGTAAAAGATATGAAGTATAGCACACCTTTACTTTTTTCCTCCAACTTCTTTTCCTTTTACTGAGGGTCTGGTTGATTTGTTGGTCGACTCCCCCTAGTGCCCTGGAGGACTTCTGCTTTGCGATTTTGAAACTTGCTGTTTGAAACGTTAAAGGGTTGTAAAAAACAAATCAAAGGGTTCATGGTTTCTTTAGTCCCTGATTTATTTTATTGTTTTTTTTTTGTTTTTTTTGTCACAGGAAGCAGCGCCCTGAAGACCGAGCTGCAGTTCTCTGACATGTACTGCCTCATGGCAGCTCATGTGTACATAGACCTGTGGACAGAAACAGGTCAGCCTCTTTTTAGAATCATTTTTGTCATTCTTGTAACTCCAGCCAAAGCATTGTCTCCACGTTGTCCTTGTGTTTGCACGTGTAGGAGATGAGGACATGGTGTGGCAGTGTCTGGGCCTCCTGGAGGAGGGTCTGTCTCACAGCTCCTCCAATGCCCAGTTCAAGCTGCTGCTGCTGCTCCTCTACTGCCGCCTGGGCTCCTTTGAGCCTGTGGTGGACCTTTACTCCAGCCTGGATGCCAAGCACATACAGCACGACACCATAGGGTCAGTTCAACCACATGGTTCAGGAGATGCAATCTGTGAATTTTATATAAATTTGTGTATCTTTTTCAGCTGGCTTTTCCCTTCCACTCAATTTTTCATCTCTCTGTTTCTTTAACTTTTGTCTTTTTGTCTGACTGGACATGTTTCAGGTCATCTGTTCTCCTTGTGAAACACATTTAACTTTTTCAGCTGAATAACTGATGGAATTTATTTAGGTGCAGCTTTTTTATATATATAACTACAAAACCTATAGGCAAAATTCGCACAAGTGCTTAAAAACCTTGAAAATGCTTTAATTTAATTTGGATGTTTTCAAGGAAAGTGCTTGATTTCTGTATGAATTCTAACTTTGCAGTTTTGTAATAAAGTGCAGTCTGTTTGCTTTAGGCCTACATTTGGAGGCCAATATTTACAGTTGAAACCAGATATTTTCATACATCTAATAAAAAGACACAATTTTTTTTCTCTCAACATCTGAAATTAAATGAGACAAAACTTTTCTTGTTTTAGATCAGTTATAATTACCAAAATTATTTCTATTTGCTAAATGCTAGAAAACTTACCAAGAACATTTTTAAGATATTTTTATTTCATTTATTTTTAATGACCAAAGAAACATATTTTTTGTCAAAAATGGAAGAGCATAGCATTCCTTTAGTGTATGATTGGTATTTTTTTTTGTGAAATTAGTGTTTCAGAGACATTTCAAAACTTTAAATTTCTTAGGTTTTAGTTTATTTTGCTGTGGAATTTAGAATGCAATCACAAGACATTATTAATAATGTCATATTAGTGAATTGAAGCTGTTATTATTTTTTTTTAGTGTTTGGTGCTGGAAAATGTTTAAAATTTACCTTCAAAATGCTTAAAGCCCTTCAATATTCCTGTGCAAACTCTGTGTATAATTTACTTTCTAACGGTAGTAAAAGTTGCCTCTGACATTCTGCCTACATATTCTGATCCTTTTTTTTCTTTTTTTTTTTTTTCCCCCCACAGGTTTCTTTTAACGCGTTACGCCGAGTCTCTGGGTCAGTTCTCTGCTGCCTCCCAGTCCTGCAACTTCTCCCTCAGGTTTTTCCACTCCAACCAGAAAGATGTAAGCGTGTCCCCCTCCATCCCCCTGCTCCGAATCTCACCCTCCCGCTGCCCTCGACTCCCTAAACACCGTTTCTTTTTCTTTTTTTCCTGCCGCTCCGTTCCAGACCTCCGAATACATCATCCAGGCGTACAAGTACGGCGCGTTTGAAAAAATCCCAGAGTTCATCGCTCTCAGGAACCGGCTGAACCAATCGCTGCACTTCGCCCAGGTCCGCACTGAGAGGATGCTGCTGGACTTGTACCTGGAGGGGGACATGTAAGGCCAGGCGCCGCAGAGTAACAGCTGTCGGGTTTTGCAGACGGTTCTCCTTTGATTGAGCTGTCTTTGTTTTTTCAGCGTCTTGAGTCTAGAGGAAAGTGTTAAGGCCATGTCTTTGTCTTCAGAGGAAGACGATGTCCCCTGGGATACTTTAAGGGACAACAGAGACCTTACTGTATTCACAAACTGGGACCCTAAACAAAGGTATGGAATATATATTTCTTCTCTCTTTTTCTTTCACAGAAACAAAAAACGGACCCACATGTTCGCCTTTTTTTCTTTTTTGCCCTCTGCCCTTTACAGGCAGTTAACTGATGAGCACCGGACTCGCTCTCTGGAGGAGGAGACGGCCTGGCTGCGGATCCGCTCACTGACGTTGCGCCTGCTCGCCTCGCTCACGCCGTCGGGACACGCCGCCTCGCAGCAGAACTCTGAGATGTCCAATGAGAACGGCGTCGGCGACAGGAGCTCGCTCCACCGCAGCCTGCTGTCGCAGTTCAACCAGACGCTGCACGCAGCGGCGCAGATCGCAGAGAAACGCACACAGGTACAAGTCAGGCCAGCTCTGATGCTTGCTCTGTTAGCATTGGGCTAGATTTGTGTGTATTCTCAGCAAGAAGAACAGGATATGAGGCACCGTTTCTTAAAGAGGCAGCTCCAAAAATCAACTTTTTTGAGCTTTACATCATGTTTAAAATGTTATGTTGTTTTCAAAAACACACCTGTGAGTGTTGCCTTGATTCTTTCACGCATGTTAGAGAAATCCATTAATCACCCGTGGCAACCATTCAGTTGTTCAAAAACACCCAGGCGAGGAGGAGGACAGAGCTCCTCCTCTGAGGTACTGTTTCCTCCACTCAGCTCCTTCAGACTAGCCAGCAGCAATTAGCTAACACCTGGTGGAACTGCACATCAGCTGAGCTCATTATAGGAGCTGCTTCTCTGTGAATCGCTGGTAAAAATGTTGCCAGAGGATTAATAGAGGAGCCATGTTGTGATGACTTCCTGAAGGCGGAGCTTCAGGAAGAGCAGGAGTTTTTAAAGAGACAAACTCTTTAAGGTGTTGAAAGAAATTTGTCCTTGTAATTGAAGTCATATTTGATCTATATCACATTTTTATATTGACTGAAGTTATAAAAATGACTGCTTTAAAAGGATTTCATGTGGCTGGAAAACACACAGCACCGTCTCTTTAATACAGCGATTGTTTTTCTTTTATGGACCCAGTACCCCCTGCTGGGCCCCCCCTCCACCCGAATGGCCTCGGCACTGTCCGTCGGCAGCTGCCACTGTCAGGCTGCGGCGCTGCAGCTCTCGGTCCACCTGCAGGAGCTGGAGTCAGCCGGACTCGGTGAGATGAAATGACCTCAGCTTTGAGGCCCAATGACGTGGCTCGCTGTGTTCCACCTGACACTTAATGTTTTTTTTTCTTTTTTCTTTTTTTTATGTGTGCGTGTTCTCTGTCCCAGACGAATCATCGGAGCTTCAAATTCAGATCTGTAACGTTTTTAAGTCATTAGTTGTTCAACTTCAAGGTGAGGTACCGGCTGGGTTATATTTTAGGCTCCATTTGTTTTTTCATATGTTTCATAATTCTATGTTCTCTCCACAGAAATACTTAATAAAAGCAAAGGAGATTTATTGGAAATGAAAGGGAGCAAATTAAAAACCCAACCCTCTTTATTAGAAAATCTAGTTTTCTTTCTTGAGGTAAAACTCTTCTCTGTTTTATTTATTTATTTATTTATTTCCGAAATACTCTAATAATTTGAAACAATACTTTGTTGGGTTTGTTCTGCAGACAGTGAGCATAGTGTTGTGGAGTGCTAGCTACTGTGCCAAGATCCTGCGGCCACTGAAGACAAGTTTACAGAAGAAGAAAAAGAAGAAAAAGGATGCCAATACTGCAATGGTACACACACCCACACACTCCTCCTATGCAGTTCTGTGAGGTGTCTGTCCATGTGTCTCATGTTGTCTCCCTGTGCTGCAGCCGTTGGTGGTGTGTGGATTCCAGGAGCTGACTGGGAACTTGCAGGACTTACTTACCCAGGCAGTGGAGCACATCAGGGGGCAAGAGTCTGGCATCACTGCCCTAAAACTGGCCAGTTTAACCTTGGAAGGATGCTCAAGGGTAGGTGCAAGAAATATTTCTACTCAATAAAATGGTAAATGGAAAGTTCATTGTTGGTGTGACAGCATTTGAAATATTAATGTAATTGTTGACCAGCTTTTTGCATGTTTTTCAAAGATTGTCTTTTAATGATGCACCGCTTGTAGCTATCTGGTCAATACGATACCGTTTAAATTTAGGTTTTGTGTGTGTGTGTGTGTGTGTGTGTGTGTGTGTGTGTGTGTGTGTGTGTAAAAAGTTGCTAAATATAGCAACCAAGTCACTCAATTGGCATCAGTGGGAAAATAAGCGGCTGATGTTTCTGTGTTTCAGGAGGAGGCGTCGTTTACGAAGGCTGCTATGGACAAGGTGCAGAGCAGTTACCTGCGTTCGCTACAGGAGGTGGGAGATCTGCTCAAAAAGAGAGCTGAAACTATAAAGAACCTTAAAATCTGAAAAAATAAGAAAAGCAACACATCCTGGACTGAAGATGACTGTACACCCCTCACTCCATCACCTACCAGCCCACCTGCTCTGCCCTGTGAGTTGAGCAGAAAACCCGGCCACGCTGTCCGGTTCTGATCCATCCTCACTACTTTCTGTCTGGAGCTCTTATTTTTCCTCCCTCCCAGCCCCTCTCTCTGGAACACCTGCAACTCTAATAGCACATAAAGCCTGCAAGTAAACAAAAATAAACTCATGAACTGATGCAGCATTCAAAACAAAAAAAAAAAAAAGGTGCACTCTCTTTTAAAGAGTTATCTTACATTAGGAAGAAGAAAAAATGAATATACAGTTTTAGAATCTAATAAATTATTGTACATAATATAAACCATAACTCCTCGATTGAATGAGAGTATAAGACACAACGAACCACTATCCCGTCTGTCGGCGAGTTTCCTGTTTTCTGGTCACGTCGAGAACAATCGCAGCGAGACGCACAACTTCATCTCCGAGGGAGGAAGGATCCGTCGACATGCTGCTTTGTTTTTTTTTTTTTTTTTGGCGGCAGCCGAGCAGGGAGCCACTCAGACTGACAGATAACCCCCCTCCTCCGTTTCAGAGTAGTTTTGTCTTCTTTTGTTGCGGTTGTCTTTTTCCTGTATGTTGTGTCGCTTTGAACCACATGTAGTTACAGTATTACAAAGAGAGAGCTAATCTTTTTTTTTTTTTTATAATTGGTGTGTCCATCTTTATTTCCTTTTTTTTTCTTTTACAGAAGTGGTGCTTGTGAACAAATCTGTTGACTCGGTTTAAAACTCGACTGATTCCCATTATTTAAGGATCATTTCAAGCGATGATCCGAACTTGAATGTTTACCAGGAACACGCGCTGCTCTGGTGAGAAGAATCCGTCTCTATGCAACCGACGGATACCGTTGTATGTAGTGACACACTTAGAAACACCCATTTGCCAGAAGCTTGAGTGCGTGCGTGCGCGTGCGTGCGTGCGTGCGTGTGTGTGTGTGTGTGTGTGTGTTGCGATCAATCTGCTCTGGGACAGGTCTCCAACCAATAGAACATTGGACCTAAGTGTAAATAAAAGCTGAGCGCAGCCTTTTCGAAGGACTTTGTTTGTTTTTTGTTTTTTAAGCAGCTAAAGTAGAAAGGGGTCATTTGTCCCTCCCTGCTTTTGACACCCACTTTTAAAAGTACAAAAAAACTGAATCCTGTCATGCTTTTTTTTAATTTTTTTTTTAATAACTGCCTCACTTGGGGGAGCACTGATGACTGTTGAACCCCGTGTTGTGGGTTTTTTTACTTTGGCATTGAAATATGAACACATGGTAAACAGTATCCCTAATAACACCTTCCTATTTCCTCTTTTTTTTTTTTTTTTTTTTTTTCATTTTTAATATCTTTTGGGGGTTTTTTTTTTTTTTTTTTTTTTTTTTTTTTT